GAATATATTTAATGAGTTTAGTTTCTATTTTATCAGGTCCTGCAGAACAGTTATTTTTTAAGTTAGAAATTAATATTATTATTTCTGGAATCGTTACTGGTTCTAAAAAAAGAGAATTTTTTATGGCATTATCAGCTAAGAAATTGTTTGGTAATTTAATTTTTTTGATTTTATTTGCCATATTTTTACCCAAGTTTATAAAGAAATTAATAAATAAGGTTGCCTTTTCTTTATTATTTTTAACTAAACTTCCATTTTCATTTATATCAGTATTTGAAATGTTTGAACTGTTTTTGTATCCATTTATATCATTGATTATTTTCCACGTTTTTTTACAGTCACCGTGAGCATCATTTAATTTAGTTTGATAGTATTCTTTATATTTGGTTTCCCGTTCCATAGAAAAGTTTTTTAACTATCTCTTTTTTAATTGATCCCTCTTATAGATAGAAGTAATTAAGGCTGAAGTTATCCATGGTTTAAGTTTCCTATTTTTTTTGTTTACAGTGAATGTTTCAGTGGTTTCGTCTATATAAAGATTCAGTTTACTGATAAATTTGTCATATGAAATTTGGGTATCTCTTGCCATAATTACATCTTCCCAATTTTCTTTTTCTACTAGCTTTTTGAGTTTAATGAAATTAATTTTTTTGTATGTTTTTTTATTTTCAATAGCAGATATGTCGAGTTTTTTGTTTAAATATATATGGACAAAGTGTGTATAATGATCAGTGAGAGCAGTATGAAAAACTATAGGTTCCGTTTCAATTTGATTACTAATTTTTTTGCTTATTCTTAGAAATATGTGATCAATACATGTGTTAGTAGTTCGAGTGACACGAGTTGCTTTATTTATATATGAAATAAATCCGTAAAAATGTAATAAATTTAAAGTAATAGAGATATTTTAATTCTGTAAAAGCCAGTTTATAAAGCGCTAAGAGAGCTTCAGTTTTATATATCAATTAATTTTAAATAGGTCAATATGTAGATGTCGCTGCGTTCAATATTTTTTTTTCGATCAGAGGAACTTTCTTATATAGCGCATCTGATAAAAAATGCATTTTTAAGCAGATTTTGTTTCATAAACCAATTCGATAAATCTAGCCATTTTGGATATACAGAGTGGGAAACTCAAAACAGTTTCATCCTGTTTTTCGGCATTAATCATTGGATTTTTAGAAAATGCTAAAATAGGTCGATTTTTATTTTAAATTAAACACATTTTTACAACACAGACATCTGTCAGGTATCAACCCCCTCCCTTCCACTTCTCCAACTCCTTAATTTTAAATAAGGAATGTACCATGTACGGCACATCATTGAAAAGGTAATTTTTCGCGTGTTTATTTTTTGATAGATGATAGGGGAATTGAGGTTAAGGTGTGCAAGGATTTTTTTTAAAATACTTTAAAAGTATCAGCTGGAAGGATCGATAGAGTTCTCAAACATAAAGGACAGCAGTCTACCCCTCCTTGTGACCGCAGAGAAAAGGCTCCAGCAGGAAATAAAACATCACCGAATAAAATTGCTGAGATAAAGGTTTTTATCGAGATATTTCCAAAATATGAAAGCACTATGCTCTTCACAAATCGAAAAATCGTAAATATTATGCTCCTGGTTTGAATTTCACCAAATTACACTTAAGAAGTTTCAAATGCTGTTTCAAATTTTGTCTTCAGAAAATTCTTTAACGAATAATTTAATCTGTCTTTCCATCCACCTATCAGATTCTTATAGAAAATGTGATGCATATGCAATTAAAATTAAAGCTGCGGATACCGAAGCTAATAAGCAAAATATGAAACAAGAACTGGAAGTGCACCAAAAAAAGGCAACTAGTGCACGTAATGGTCTTCAAAATGACACTGAATTGGCTAAAAACAACCCGGAAGTAACAGTGATTACCTTCGATCTGATGAAAACATTACCTACTCCTTTTCTGTTAACAGGCGTTTGTTACTATAAACGACAACTATGGACATATTGCTTTGGAATCCACCATATGGCAAACGACGATGTTTATACGTTTCTTTGAGATTAGTCAGTAGCCTCTAGAGGACCCCAAGAAATAGGATCTTGTATTTTTAAATTTATAAATAATTATGTATTCCGATCAGTGTGTCAGTTTATTGTTTCTAGTCTTGATTACACAGTTAAAAAAATACATAATAAATTTTTAGTCAGTGGACATTCATATTTGCCATACGACCAGAAAAAAAAAATAAATTGTTTCCAAACATTTTTATTTCAGAGCACTGGAATAACGTTGTTTTGGCGGCACGCAATAAAAACCCATTTAAAATTATTTGTATGGATAAAAACGACTTCATTTCAACAAAAAACTGGAAAATAATATCACAAATAAAAAAATTGACGTTGGTAAGTCCAAAGGTCAGTGGCTAAAAATTCAGTGGCTAAGATTTTCTTTTGAAACGCCATTTAAAATATTTTATAAATACTCAAACAATGAAATCGTTAACTTTAGCGAACTTAACGTAAAAAAACGAAACACCACACTAATCGACAATTTAGATTTACTTTTTCCCAATGGAAACTGTATAAATGTCCTAAAAGTGTAAGACCTGTTAAATTTGTTAGATTATGTTCCACCCATTCACCATGCATTTTATAATAGCCTTAAGACCAATGCTCAAATCGATGTTGATGAAGTACCTTTAGTAGATTTCCCTAGCGATGAAGATGTTTAATAAAATTTTAAACCAAATATTTTTTTTTTTTTTGAAAAAACGCATGATTCTTATGGACCATCCAAACAAAAAAAGAAAACAGTCGATGTAAAAATGGACTAACCCACATCAAAATCAAAAATCGCCCTAATTACAAAAATAAAATAATCCACTTTAAAGATAACACTATACCTGAAAATATTGTGCAAAAAATAAAATTTGTTACGTTTTTAGATTTTGTAGAATATTTTTCATAAAAAGAGCAATTTTTTATTTTCTATTTATCTCAACTTTGAGTCGTATTTTGATTAATTTGACGTTAATAATTTTATATTTGAAGGTTGACTGAATAAAAATGTTTTTTAACATTTAAGTCATGCTATTTAAAAAAAAAATATTTTATTTATACTCACTAAAACTGACTAACTCTACTTGCTCGAGTTTGACATATAACGTAAAACTGTGCAGACACTTTAACACCCGTATGCATAGTATATTGCCAGCGATTCGCCCCCGTATCACCAGCAATCCGCTGGCGAAAGCCCGAAAAGGCTGGAGATTGTCACCGGCATTTCTCGCATGATATTCATGATTCATTTATTAAAACTCAAAAAACAATGAACGAATATCAAATTTTTCCCAATAAAAGAACATGAAAACTAATTTTTCTTATAAAATAAAATGAAAACATGCGAAAGATGACATGTCCGTAACAATCTCCAGCAAGTTTCCAGCGATTCGCCAGAGATTCGCCAGAGATCCGCTGGCAATCGACTATGCATACGGCTGTTAGTATCTTCATAGCATCTTCTCTTTATTTTAAATCAATGATGGGAAAGTTCCCCTCCTTATTTTGTGACGTCACTGAGTGCGTTGCGCAACTTAGGCTGATTTAAGTGATTTTATGTTTGTTCCACTACGTTTCACGGATCTGTTAACGTGTGACATCTCTATTTAGCTAAGGACTTTCGAAAACACCTCTCACTCCTTCGGGATCACTTATAAAAGAGCGCTACGGAAACGCGATTAGCCAGAAAGCAGAGGCGTACCCAAAAATAGATATTAACACGTATGAAAACAAAAAAAATATTAAAATTGAATTAATATTTTTATGTTATTTATTTTTTTGAAATATTATGAAATGTAACTAGGTGTTCACTGCACAAATGGACCAATTGAGAAACCACCTCTGATATCCAGTATTAACATTTATTAGAACAGTTTATATAATTTATTATAATATTATAATATTGAATATTATTCGTGTTTCATTTAAGAATTACATACTGAAATTGGGTGAATAGATAATCTTCAATTAAGTAGAAGTAAAATGTTAACTGTTGTTTTGGTTAAGATACTTTTTAAAATTTTCTCATTATACTTAAAATTGTCTAATACAATTATTTTCATAAAATGGATTTCAAGTTTTTAAAATATGAATCATAAAATACATTTTTTATTAGACAAAAATGTCCTTGCTTGCAAGAATGCAAGTATGTGTATCAATTTCGTTTCTTACGTCTTATATTCGTAGCATATTACAACCGAGAGTTATTATAGCAAAATGTTACATTATAGTACAAGTCTTGATTTATTGAAAGGCAGAATGAGGGCCGATATAATCATAAAGTATAAAACAGGTTAAAGATGTGTTACGCCTACGATTGAGGCCTTGTAACTTTCAGTAAATAGAAATTTATTAGCTTTTCTGTACATTAAGTCCAATGAAAAATGGATTAAATATGGCGTACTTGTCAAGATAAAATCTGAACAGAAATAAATAAGATATGGAAGTTGTTACGGAAATTGAAGTAATTTGGAGTTATTACTGTTATGTACAGGGTGTGTTTTAATACTAAAATTTTAAATATAATATTTAGGGCAACCCTCAGAATAAATATCTAATTAGAATTTCATATATTGTTGCTCACCAAGTAATAAATTTTTTAAAAAATTATGCATTTATTTCTGCTAGTTTTTTTTTTCAAATGACATATTTATTACTGTCAAGACCGTACCGAATTATGAAGTTATTTTTAAATAGAAACAAAGGAGTAGTTTTAAACGGTAGCTTGTATAATTTTGTTTCCTTGTTTTTTTTAGGTCTTCTTACATTTGAGTTTGATATTATTTCCTTTTTTAATCATAATTTAACTTTAACGAATGCACTTTAACGAATGTTCGATTTTGGAATGTTCACCAAATAATATTCTTATCAACGCTTTCTAAAACTATGAATAAATAACCATTAATGAAAATATATTTGTCTCTCTTGACTTATCTCTTGTAAAATACGTTCCCATGCAAATAAAATCAAGCAATTAAAATAATTCGATATTTTTTGTTGTTTTAGGAGCTTTTGGAACAACTATTTAAGTTATTTGACCAAGATCGAAACCAGTGCTTGGCGCAAGAAGAATGGATCGAATTCCTCAAACAGAGATTAATGTAAGTTTTCTTTTTTTTAATCACTGAAACCGTGTGATATGGATGTGAATTCTGTATTTCATTAAGTCAACTCTTAATTATGTATCAAGGTTACTAAATTCCTATATGCAATCGTGTATTCCATTTTTTTATGAAACATAAAATTTTTGTTAGTTTATACATAGTGCGTCAAAAAGTCTGTGTAAAAACTAATACCTTCGTGCTACGCAAGCTGTCACCTAATATAACACAATTAATTGGTATAGGAACCCCCATTATATTGTGAAATGTAGTACAAGAGGATTGTCTAAACCACTCCTGCTGCCAAATGTGGTAAATTGACAATTGACCTAGCAATTATCTTTTAATGGGGTAGCGTAATTTTTTTTACCTATGTATTGTATTATATTGTATTACTAGACTAGCAGAAGAAGGAATATCCATTCACCCATGGTAAAAAAAAATGAAAAAATAAGAGCATAAAATGACCCCTTAGTTGTCAAATACTCTGATAGTCCCAAGAAATAATCACGCCAGGACTTGGAAAGGGTCTGGAGTATTTTCCCTTTAAACAATATATTCTAAACTAGGGGCGAAATATTCCCTTCTGTCTGTCTTCTGTATTGAAGTATGAAGAATTTAATTACAAGTTGTAATAGCTCATCATTTTTCGTCTCTAATTTAAACTGTTCTATCCGGTTATCAGATATAGGGAGAATTTTTATATTAGAATGTACAGTTCTAGTTCTAAATATGTTTCTGTATCGATTTTCTTAAGGAAAGCTCTAGATAATGTATCTGATATGTATAAAAAATTACCTGGTTTGTATGTTACATTCAAGTTATAATTTAATAATTTCATTCTCATTATCTGTAAACGAGGGGTTATTGGATTGCAAATCCTGGCGAATGATGGTTTCCAAAGGTTTGCTCACTTTTATATCAACCATAAATTAACAAATGAAATGTTTTAATCCCGAAGATAGTAGCTAAAGTTTCTTTTTCAATTTGAGCACATTTCTGCTCCGTTTGTGTTAGGCTTTTAGATGCAAAGGCTATCGGGTGCCCACCTTGAAGAATACAAGCACCAAGCCCATCTTTTGATGCATCTGTCTCTACTTCTATTGGCTTGAAGGGGTCAAAAAATGCCAGCACTGAAGCTATTATTAGCAAGTCTTTCAACTGGTTAACTGAGTCTGTATGTAACTGGTCCCACTTCCACTTAACATGTCACTTGTCAAATTTCTTAGACAGGCTGTTACTTTAGAAAGATTGGGAATAAATTTACCAACATATTTTACCATTCCTAATAACCTTAAAAGATCAGGTTTAGACTGAGGTACTGGCATCTCTATGATTGCTTTTGTATAGCTTTTGTCTGTTTGTATACCGTCATTTGAGAACAGCTAACCAAGAAATTTGACATTTTGTGCTTCAAATTGGATCTTCCTAAATTGAATTTCACATTATATTTCAGAGCTCTCTCTAGAACAATTTTTGAATTGTGATCATGTTCTGCTTCAGTGATACTTCAGTGATAATAAAATCATCGAAGTATAGACCTATTCCATCAATATCTCCAAATATTTTGAAATTTTTCTTTTGAAAAACCTGACTTTATACCAAAGGGCATTCTAACAAACTGGAACCTGCCAAAGGGTATCCCAAAAGTACATAAAGTTGCACTTTCTTCGTCAAGCTCCACCTGCCAGGACCCGTTTTTCATGTCTAATACTATGAAATATCTTTTGTTATTTGGTTTTGCTGATACTTCCTCCACTGTGGGAATCAAAAATGTTCTCTTTTAATCATACTATTTAGATGCTTAGGGTCAAGGCAGAGACGCAGGTCTTTGTTATTTTTTTACAATTACAAGTGGATATACCCATTGAGTAGACTCGTTAACTTTTTTGATTACTCCTAATTTTTTAAGGTCATTTAACTTTAATTTTAACCTCTCGTGAAAAGACTGAGGCACACGCCTTATAAGCATTATATAAGGACAAGCATTTTCTTTTAATGTAATGTAATATTTTGTTGGAAATATGCTTAAACACCTCATGATATATTTTTGTGAAATCTTTAAGCGATTCAAATATTTTCTTTACAGTATTGATTCTCTTAATTAATTCTAGGTCTTTACAGGCTTGTAATCCTAATAAAGATATCTGACCAACACTTTTTATTACAGCAAATATTATATTTGACTTTTTGTTCCCAATTGTGCAAACTAAATTAATTTTGCCTAAGGGTTTGTATCTGAATTGGCTACTACCATATGATATCAATGTAAAATTAATACTAACCATTTTATTCAGCACTCCAAGTGTTTTCATAATACTTTCAGATAAAACACTTACCTCAGCTCCAGCGTCTAGCTTAAATAATATATTTTGATTATTAATTTCCAAACACTCGGTCCACATTAAATTACTATCGTATTGCACGGAACGAACACTTTTCTCCACTGACAAAGATGCTACGAAGAATTCACTGTCACTTTGATCACTATCAATATGCCCTTCTACTTTCACTGCATGAGCATTTCTTGTTTTTATATTTTTGCTCCTTGAAACTGGTTTTTCTACTGGTTTACTCCTATTTTGGCAGACATTTGCGAAATGGTTTCTTCCTTGGCATGTAGCACACGTTTTTTTAAAAGCCGGACAGTTTCTTGGGGAATGCTTATAGCCACAAGCACCACATGAACTTGAAGGTATCCTCTCTTTTCCTATTTTGTAAATAGCACTTACTCTCACTTCATTTTGTAACACTTTTGACTAGGTTTTGCTTATTTCTATGGATCGACAAACATTTCTTGCTTTCTCTAGAGTTAAATCTGGTTCTCTCAGTAATTTTTCCTGGGTACTTTTGATATGCCAAAAACAACACGATCTTTGACCATTTCATCATTTTGAGTATATACCCCGTTGTACTTCTAGCTTTCTTTAATTCGGTAACAAATGCATTGAAAGGTTGTCCCTTTTTTTGAGTAATACTGTTAAAGAGATACCTTTCACATATTTTATTCTTTTTAGGTGCAAAATATGCTTCAAACTTTTGTAACACAGCTGTTTCAGTTATTTCTTCACCTTCTTTCCACGTAAATGCGTTAAATAATTCAAGTCCTTCATCTCCAAGTTTCTTGAGGTTTCCCACAGCATCTCGTAGCATCCATAAAAAGTTCATATTTTTGTTTAAACTTTTCCAGTTTTCGGAAATGTTACCGTCAAGTATTAGGCTTCCTGGTGATCTGAAAAGAAGCTCCATTTCTGTGTGTTTCTACACCTCGAATACTGATTTTTCTAGCTTCGGCTATTATTTAACTAGCAAATTAAAACCTGACACCATGTCTTATTCTAGGTGCTGGTTGTAGATATTTTAATAAATACAGTTTTCCAGAAGTTGCAGTTCCCGCCTTCAAAGTATGCATTAACTTAACCTCACTCCGGTTGTCTAGCCGTGGCCACAGTTGTCTCTCCTTATTTATTTGGCAGTTAAATTGAATAAGTGTGACGAGTCACATACTTTGATTTTCTTTTACTATACGGAGAATGGTCGCACTGCGCAGCTTTCTGAGTGCCTTTTAAAAGGAGATAGAAAACTCCGCCATTTTGATCCCTTATTACGTGTTGCCTACATCTTGGCGCAATGTTTTTAATAGGCGCGTTTTAATCATCCGCTTCTGCTTCACAATTGTCGGTTTTCTTGTTTTAATCTGACAGGTTAAAACGACTAAACCGACAATTCCGGAAGCAGAAGCGGATGATTAAAACCTTAGATTATACAAACCTTAGATGGAACATAAGACACTGCGCATAATCCCATTTCAAAATGATTCACACCCACCAATCACAGTTGAGATCATCACATGTCAGACCGTTGTCCATCCAAATTTAATGTGTCAACGAGAATTAATTTGGTATTTTAGTGACTTAAATTTTGGAAATTAACGTTGAAAATGCCAAGATGTGTTGTAAAAAGCTTTATTTATAATAAACCTGCGAAATGTGACGGAGATAAAAGAAACTTATATTTATTTCGGTGAGATATTTAATTTTTAAAGATTCTGTCGACGTCCATATTTGTTGATTTGAAAATAAACAGAATCGGACTTGGTCATTGGTACATGTTATAAGTAGCAAATAAAGGTTATTATTATAATATTTAATATATATTTAATATATATAATATATGTTTACTATTTCTTGTTTCATAGGGAATCTTTTTTTAGGAAGTGAAAAGAGAAACATACAATCAAATACAAAAATATCAATTTCATTGACAATTTATTCGTTTCAAACTTCACAACTGGTTTCAATAGTTTTCTCAAAACTATTTATTTAGTAATTCTCTATAATAGTGTAAAGCCAAAGTTTCCGCGAAGAAAATAATCACAATAAAAAAAAAAACAGTACTATCGCCACAAAATGGAGGGACCTGGCTTGAGGACCGTTTTTTGGGAAGTAATTTTTTTAAGTCACTAACAGGAAGGAGGATATGATTTAGCTTTAGGACTTTTTTATTTAATTTTTTATGGGTGAAATAGATTTGGGATAATTTTTGCAAGGAATCTTTGGAATAAATCAAAAATAAATGATGCTCTTGTGCATTTTCAGCCGATTAAATTATTCGTAGATGCATCAAATGTGGGAATAAGGGCCATGATATGTCATGTTTTTAAAAAAAAAAAAAAAATATTGAGAAATCTATAGTTTCTGCTTCGCGTACCTTATCAAAGTCCGAACAAAAATATTCCCAAATTGAAAGAGAGATCCTTGCAATAATTTTTGGCTTAAATAAATTTAATGAATATTTATATGGACATTTGCATAAAGTAGAACATTATGCAACTGATTACGAAAAGTTGATTATGTCACCAGTTACGAAATGAAAATAAATAAAACTGCCTCTTTTTTGGTTTCTAAGTTGAAAAATCGTAAAATCGAGAAATTGAGATACCGAGAAATCGAAAAATCGAGAAATCGAGTAATCGAAAAATCTAAAAATAAAAAATTGAAAAATCCAAAAATTCAAAAATCCAAAAAACGAAAAATCGAAAAAACCAAATATCGAAAAAAAGGCAATGAATAGTGACATTTCACATTTGAAAATATGACATTACGTTTAAAAACAAAAAAAGAGAAGCTGTAAATTGCGTTTAATTTTTAAAATAACACCGTTATTGAAAACTGCCCAGAAATGTTGGGGGTAAAATTTTGACGTACTTCTTTAAGGATAATGTGTAAAAATGTTTTTTTTTTCAAATTTCTCTAGGGTAATGTCAAAAATTAGATCGGCAACACTGCACATGTCCCTTATTTTTATTATTACTATTGAAAAAAAAAAAACGTCTTAGGGCAATCAAATACAACAATTTTCTAAAATATTTGATTGGAAGTACCTACGCAAGAATGATGGTGAATCATTTTTCAACACAATTTTATAAATAATCAAGTCAAAATTAGAAAAAATCTTGTATATAAACACGTTACGAAATGCCGTTTTGTGTAAGTCGTTCATGTTGCGGGAACTCGCTCCGCTCGTTTTGCAAATATTTACTCGTTACACAAAATAAGGCATTTCGTAACTGGTTACATAAATAACTATTAATTGACTTTCTAATATTTTAATTCATTGGACGGTATTTTCCGTAAATAACTAAATCATAAATAATTACCAGGATATAAGTACCAAAACATTTTTTTCTCTTAGAACAGTAGGCCTATGTCAAATAAACTTGAAATATTATAACGAACGAAAAGGTAACCCATTTCTAATAAAAGTTAGTTATTTATTTTATTTTGGTGTGATCGTAGAAAAATTCTTGTGTGTAATTCGAGCAAAAAGTACTTATAAACTTTTACTTAGGGTCGATTTCACCGTTTTATTAAACGAAGTTTAAAATACTAAACGAAGATTAAAATGACATTTTTATATTAACAAAAACGAAGTTTAAATTACTAACGCCCGTATGCACCGTACACGTTTAATCCAGATCAAGGGTTTAATCGCGTTTAATACCATTTATAGCTATGGTACTAAACGCGATTAAACCCTTGATCTGGATTAAACGTGTACGGTGCATACGGGCGTAAATGGAGTTTAAAATTACATTTTTATATTAACAATGTCATTTTAATCTTCGTTTAATAATTTAAACTTCGTTTGAAACAACGGTGGAATCGGCCCTTAGCTAGTTATATATTGATAAAGTGCATGTATGATGAGGGATACATGAATCGTGCTAACAAATAAAGTCAAAAAAACGTCTCATAATTTTTCATCTTCTAGTTACCTACCAAAATTAGGTACTACAATACAAATATTTAAGTCCGGCCCAGAACATCTCCCTACTCCTTCCACCCAGTTTTTCGGTTTTGGCAAAATTTGCGCAGCGAGAAATGCTTCCTATGTTACCTCTACCCTTTCTAACCTCTTTGATTAAAACGCACCTGATATTTTGCTTGCTGCTGTCAGTGTCAGTGAATATTATTTTTGGAGTCACAGTTTATTGCTAAAGAATCAGTTAGCTCACTCGGACCAGTTGAAAGTTCCAAAATAACATCCATACCAGGGATACAAATTCAGGATACGCAGAAGACTGCTGTTTTATTATAGGTGGTTGTCATATATTGTATTATCCGAGTTGCGCAGTGTATAAACTGGAACATTGAGATCAAAAGTGCCGACGCAGAGTAAGCGATCTGATTCTTTAGCTATAAACTGTGGCATAGGAATCAAAATTGCCGCGCCCTATGTTGGGCGTATCTTGCACCGTATAGTAAATCAAAGTATGTGGTGACGAGTAGTCAAATAGAAAACAAATTTCGCTTCACCTAATTTGTTATTAAAATATATGCGATACAGATTTTGTGATTTTATTTTATTCTTTAAAATGTTTACTTTTTTTTACAAACATAATCTTAAATAAAAAGATTTAAAATCAAAACGAAAGTGTTTGACGGTTGCCTACTTTATGGCGATAGCGACTCCGAGCGATTATTTTGAGACACGAAGTGCCAATTAATAGAATTAAAACGATTAGTAGAATTCTATATGACACAGACTCTTACTGCAGCTTGTTTTAGCTGTTTGGGCTGTTCTGAGTTATCCTGGGAACATTGTTTCTTCTTTCTTTCGCAGCTGTTTCAAAAGTATTTTGACGGATATGTTCTATCTTATCTTCATTTTCATTAAAGATCTAAAGACCTTGTATGAAAGGTTTTGTTTTTTTTTACCGTTTCTAAAAGTAAAATATTCATCTTTTACTGACGTTTATTTCAACAGCCAGTAGCCACTTCACGTAAAGAACAATTTGACAAGAACCCTTGACTTTTAAGCCTTGCGGCATTTTTAAAGATTTATTTGACAATGTTTAAGAAGTGTCAAATTTAAATGCGACAGACGACTACGATACAAAATCTATAGAACACCATTAAATTTTAGCGATCACATTTCAATTTTGTCAACTCTACTTTAGAAACATTGTAGATCACTTGTTATTTTGTTAAGAAGCACAACCTATAAAAAAGATCAATTTTCAACTTCAGAAACTAGCTAAAGAATTAAACTGTTGTTCAGGAAGCAAAATACCAAATATTTACCTAGTCCTTTATCATAGGTACAAAAAAATATTTTTCCTACGGCCACTTAATATCACACTAAATAGTCCTATGGAAAGTGCCCTATATCACACGCGTATAAATAAGAATTTACTTTCCACCCGTGTGCGAATATGCTACTTTCCGCAGCAGCTGTCACAAAATGTCAAACACATCATTTCTATTTTAATCTATGTAATGTCCATATTTATACTAAAATCGATATGATTGTTAAATTAGTGAAATTGTTGTAAATTAGATCCTAGATATTTATCTTTAACAATTATTAATAAAATAATTTTAAAATAACTAAGCTATGTTTGCTTTTTATTCTGGTTAAACCGATTAGATTAACCGATTAGATCATTCAATTGACGCAAGGCCTACTAGCTCAGATGGTTACAGTGTCAAACTTTTAACTTTGCCATTTGAGACCTGGCTAGCGACCGCAGATTTTTTTTTAATTTTTTCTTTTGTTTTTTAATTTTTTTTTTGTTTAGAAAATATGAAAATTGAATAAATACGATTATGTTTGATTATTTTTTTAAATACATTTTAATTATTATAATAATAACCTGGTTTAGGGGGTGGGTTGGCTCAGTGGTTAGAGTCATGACTTTGAGATCGGAAGGTCTCAGGTTCGAATCCCACCGTTGGCCGGGATTTTTTCATTTAATTTAATTATTTAAAATTAATTCTGATGCCTTGGTAGGATTCCCCACTCGACCATTCACTGTTGGGTTCTAATTAACAGTGCTGTTCCTAAACTGGTGCTGGGAAACAGTAACAAAGCCTACACAGAACACGAGGCGAAATAATCTTAGCAGTTGAAGCCGATGACACACAATAAAAAAAAAAATAACCTGGTTTTACATTTTTTGATGAAATTATTTTGTGGTCGTAGGAAAAATATTAAACATCACTTGTGTGAAAAGGGATTTTCCACACTCGTGTGATAGTCGCACTCGGCTTGTGCCTCGTGCGACACTATTTCCCACTCGTGTGAAAAATGTCACTTTCCACACTCGTAATGTAATATACTATTTCAAATTACTAAAATATATCTAGATGCATCAGCAAGGCGAATTTAACGGCTTGATTCTACATTGTATATTGACTTGTTTTTCGCGTTATTTTGTTATTTAACCCCAAAAACAAAATTTGAATTGGTCTGAAATTGTAAAGTACATTTTGATGAAATAAAAGTTTCGCTGAATAAATATCAATACCACCTCGTATATCTTTAATTTTGCCATCGCTATTTGATCAGTTTTTTTATGTTTTTTTTCTGTTTTAAAATTTACAGAAACGAGACCCAAATCGACTTTGCCGAACAGCTGGAGAGCGTTGCATATTGCCTATGTGGAGACAAACCAATTTACTTAGAACAATTTTATTTAATTTTTTTAACAAAAGGGGTGAGTAAAATAATGTACCTACTTATAGATTTTATCGTCTTTTACTATTTAACATTTTCACTTTCCTCTTACTTAAATATTTCTACAAGAAATTTGTATATGCATCCTTGAATGCTGTGTAATTCGTAAAAACTTATTTGTAAACTCAACACTTTATACAGAGTGATTAGTTATTATTGCATGAAAATTTAATATTGGATTCATTGAATCAAAATATGAAATAAGATACGAAGTGTTAAAATAAATCGATTTTTTAATTCTTCAACATTTTGAATTGAAGTGATACAATGTGAGCAAATTAAAAGCGGAGCACCTCTGTAAAATGCACATTTATTAACGTATTTCATGTATTGTAATGGAAAATGTGAATACATTAAAAAAAATAATATATAAGTAAAAGTAAATAAATAACATCCTGTACAACAGATAATTATTGTGAAAAGACATTAAATGTAATAACAGAAAATTTTGACAAGAATAATCGGATTGGTCGCAAATAGAAACTAAAAATTAGTAGGTACTCAAGTGAAAATTACAAAATATATACAGGGTTAGTCATTTATTTATTAAGCTATTTTAGGAATGCAACAGACTGAGGTCCATATATGCATCCACAAGATCAGTATTGTATTGTTTAACATATTAAGTTTTAAAATAAAATGAAGAGAACTAAATAAAAAAATACAAACAAAAAACATTTAGATAAAATCTAGAACATTGACATTAATAATTCTAAATACACAGATAGTGGAGACTTCAATTTCTGTCTTAGTGAAATTAGAGATATATTAACGGAATCAATGGTATTACCAGAGTGGTTTGCATTTCTTACTATTCTACACAGTGGAGACTTTTGTGAACAATTTGTTTTACGAAATGTCCGATGAAAAAGTTCGGGATTTCTTACGTCTCTTTGAGGTACTCACGAGTGAATGACATTGAATAATATTTAATAAGATTAAGAAAAGGTCCATCTATGTCACAACTTCTCTTTGTTATTAATATAGGGGTGTTTTGTAAATCTTCACAAAATTTATGACTGTAAACTCTACAAGGATTATCTACTAGATTTCTCCAATATTTTGGTGAAACTGTTCACTGCTGTCGAGCATTTAATGTCCTCAAAAGTTAAATTCCAGGATAGGCTAAGGAAAAATTTATTTCATCGATTCATAGAAAAAAGTTCATTATGGTAAGAGATTTTTAAAGTACATAGACAATTAAAACTGTGTTACATTTTAGTCACTTTTTTAATTATTTTTTTTATTAAATTTCGATTTTGGCCAAAACTGAAAAATCACTTTAAGAGGTCACATAATAATGTTATAACTCAAAGAAACCACTGTTAATGGTATACATTGGAGCTATATAGTACACCGTTAATCTAATTTTTTCCAATTTACAGGTACGGTTTAGTTTATTTCTGAATTTAAAATTTTTAAACACAGTATATTTTTGTAAAACTCAAAATACTTTGCCAAATTTACTTGCCAACGTAGATGTATTTACAAAATGATAAAGCATCGCCTCATTTTAAAGTCTATTATTTTTGAGCTCTTTTGAAACAGATGTTTATTTTAATGACTTCTATACAGGTAAAATTATCAACTCTGGGTGTAACAAAATCATGTAGAGTAAATTTAACCATAATTTCTGGAATCGTAAATAAGTCGATTTAAGCTAACTTGCATAAAAAAATCTGTATTAAAAAACTGTGTTGTCTGTGAGGCAAGATAAAAGGATTTTCAGATTGAATTTTAACAGAAAATTGATTTTGTCAAATAAATTCACTATCGTTTAAACTAGGAAGAAGTGGTTTGCATCGTTTAATTTCTCTTTAAAAACTCTACAAACTGGTTTTAACTAATTTATGCTGGGTTGTCTGTAGGGCAAGATAATAGGATTTTCAAATTGAAGTTTAACAGAAAACTGGTTTGGTTAAATAACTTGACTATCGTTTAAATTAGGAAAAAGTCATTTCCATCCTTAGATTTCTCTTTAAAGGCCCTACGAACGGGTTTTTACTTCACTTAGTATATCTAACTTGGTTATATGCATCTGAAAAAAATTAATAAGAAATTAATTATATTCAAATTTTATTATTATTGTCCTGTGTTTACCTTTTTTCAGATTCCTAAGGATAAACATTCTAACTAACAAAAGTCAAAGCTTTGATTTATTGATTTATAATGCTTTAAGTTACCTCATCCCAAAATTTCATTCCTTTTACAAAATATTTACACAGTGAACAATATGAAAAAAGAAAATTGTTAATATTTCTTAAAGATGATTGATGGCGCCATTTAACTTACAAGTGAGGAAACTCCATAAAACCTCACCCACTGTCATCAAAAACGGTAACGCATGGCGATTTTATAATCTGGATGTAATATCAACAAAAATTAAGTTTCTCATATCACAAACAACTTTTATAATAAATAAACTACAGTAGTATGTATCTTTTTTTAATTTTCATATATTTTTTCCAAAATTAAAAAGAATTGCTTTCATCGTAAATTGAACCGAGGCCACGAAATGCAAATTTGACTGCATTTTGGATGCATTACTAACTGAGCTATTACCGGAGACTAGCCGTGATGTCTCTGGTCACGACTTGGATGGGTGATTACTGGACTTTACCGACTAGCGGTTAATTATCCACGACATGGATCTGGAAGAACTCACACCGCACCTGGTGGGTATATTCAGATCCTCGTTGGCTCTGAGGTATATCCCAAAAAAATGAAGAGAGGTAAAAGTGGTATTTATACCCAAACCTGGAAGGATAAATTACACTGTCCCAAAAACATACCGACCAATTAGTATGACATTGTTTTCCATGAAGACATTGGAAAGACTATGCGAAAGGTACATAAAGGATGCTGTGATTACAACAACACCACTACACCCAAACCAACATGCATACACCCCAGGCAGATCTACTGATTCAGCCCTTCATCTAGTTGCTGGCCGGATAGAAAGATCCCTGGATAACAAGGAGTCCGCCTTGGGTGTTTTCATAGATATAGAAGGTGCTTTTGATAAAACCACTTTCCCAAAGATAATACACTCACTAACCAACAGGAATATTCCACAAATGGTTAGTGGGTGGATACACGACATGCTCTCAAAGCGAGCAGTAAACATAAGTGTAGAAGATGTGAATATAAGAGGCTTGGTTGCGAGGGATGTCCACAGGGAGGGGTGCTATCACCTCTACTGTGGAATATGGTCCTCGACACCCTCATCAGCCGCCTCAATAATGACAGTCACTACACAATCGCATATGCAGATGACCTAGTCATTTCTCCCCCAGAGTCGTCGCATTGACTTACACGGCTATCATAAGAGCTATGCTAACATACGGTGCAGTTGTTTGGGTACCGAAAACCCAAAAATTAACAGCTATCCGTAAACTAGAACAAATTCAAAGAACAGCATGTCTCAACATAACAGGAGCCATGAAAACAACATCAACCAGAACGATGGAAGTCATTCTTAGTCTCACACCCCTTGATATTTACATCAAGGAGGTTGCTCTGACGATAATGACACGCCTCCGCACGGTTGGAATAGAACCTGATGTAGGATCTGGTGAGGCGCTCGATACGCTCCCACTGCTTCAAGCGAACATGGACTCCATCTCACCGAGATATATCTTCCATAAGCCATATAAAGTTATAATAGAACAAATAGAAGAGTCAGAAGTGGCAGGTACGATTCATATCTACACCGACGGTTCTAAAACAAAGCTCAGGATGCAGAATATACTCCAGATTCTTAAACCTAAACATAAAATGGGCTGTAAGCAATAGTGCCAGTGTAGTTCAAACAGAGCTAACAGGATTCTCATAGCAGCAAAAGAAATAACCAGAAATAATATCACTGGAAGGAACATGCTTATCTCTACAGATAGCAGACAAGCACTACTCACCCTGAACAGACCACGAATTTATTCAGGGTTAGTACTAGAATGTCACGAAGCTTTGGCCGAAGTATCCATCAACAATGTGGTCACTTTTTTTTTACACCCGTGCTACACCCTAATCCGTCTGTAGTCTGGCAGCACTGCAGCCTGCGGCTTATTGTACCACCATTTGAAGGTCCTACTACTTTCCCATTCACACCCTCATTCATTCTCATTCATTCCACGTCGTGGATGGTTAAACGCTAGTTGGATGAATCCCATGGTGACATGGCTCATGGTGGAACCTCCCAGCGGTCACCCATCCACGACGTGACCGGAGAGATCACTGCTTAACTGTTGCGAGTACGTTGATGCACACTAAGCTCGCAGCTAGCCTCTCCGGCTGTGGTCACCTTAAGATGGATCAAAGGTCACGCCACATCGAAAGGTAACCGTTTTACCGATTCACTAGCCAAGAAAGCAGCCAACCAAATACTTTTTGGACCTGGCCCTTCTATTGACCTGACAAAATTGGTGGTGACAGACCTAATTAAAGAACATTCCCTTGTGAAATTCAAGGAAAGATAGGATAAAACAAGAAACTGCAGAGTTGCCAGGGAGCTCTTAAGTTATCCTGACAACACTGCAGCAAAGAAATACTTGACTATGACTAGACAGAATCTGCGTCTGGTCACAGGCATTCTGACTGGCCATTGCCAAGTACGGAAGCATCTCCATATCATGAGGCTGTCAGAATCCGCACTTTGCAGACGGTGCGAACAAGAAGATGAGACCATCGAGTATATCCTTAACGATTGCCCGACGATTTCATTTATTAGAAGATTTGTTTTCGGCGAGTATCGGCTAACACCGGCAGATATAAGAGAAGCACTTCTTGGCGACGTTGTCAACTACATTAAATCTGTAGGCTGGCTCACGAGCTAGGAGGTGCCTATCATTTTAGGAGGATGCACAATGGGCCTAATAAGGCCTAAGTGCCATGGGGGTAACTCACCCTCCACACGTTACAGATACAGATGGAATGAATGATGATGAATGAATATACGATGAATAGGAAGAAGTAAGGCATCCAAATTGTGGTACAATAGACCATCTGCATCTCAGTGCCTCCATGCAAACCCCAAGAGGAGGGAAAGCAGACTGGATACCAAACCTAATTTGAGAGGAGCCAGTGACTGGGCCCAAGCCTGATTGGGGCAGTCTGTCTGAATCCTTCAGGGGGAGCAGAAGGATGCCTGAAAGGGTTAAAAAAACTGAGCCATTGAGTCATGTCATGGTTATCTAATCAAATATGTATATTAATGGACAGCTTAATTTTTGACCAGCTAAATTTTCACTGCAAGGAACTTTTGATTAATAACCAGCATGGCTTCTGTCAAAAAAAATCTACAGTTACAAATCTATTGTTATACGAACAAAATATATTAAATGTTTTAGAAGCTAAAGTGCAAGTTGACTCTGTTTACACAGATTTCGCTAAAGCGTTTGACAGGGTTGATTATGAAATATTGTTAACGAAACTAGAATCGTTTGGTATACCATCTCAGCTGATGAAATGATTCACAAGTTTTTTAACAGGTCAAAGTCAGCAAGTTAAAATCGGTAGTAATAAATCCAGATTAATTAGGGTGTCCTCAGGTATACCACAGGGCTCTCATTGTTCACTACTTTTATTTAATATATTTATTAACGATATAATAGAATGCTTTAGACATTGCGAGTTCTTAATGTTCGCAGATGATCTAAAGTTGTTTAGACCAATTTACTCATTTAACCAAACAAAAAGTGCGACTCACAATATTACAATAATGATAAGCCACTATCTCAGGTTAACTCAGTCAAAGTTTTAGGAGTTATTTTAGATGAACAATTAAGATTTATTGAACATATAAATTTAATCTCAATAAAATCATCCCAATACTTAGGGTTAATATTGCGTAACTGTTCTGATTTCTCTCTAGAAGCCATAAAAAGAGTTTATCTAACATTGGTTGTACCTCAGTTGGAGTATGTTTCTATAATTTGGTCCCCACAATATCATATACACTGTTTAGCAGTGGAAAGAATACAAAATAAATTTCTAAGATGTGCCTTCAAAGTAAATATTCAGGTAACCGATCACAATTATACTAGGATTTTAAATGAAATGAATATGAGCCGACTTAAGTACAGGAGATTTGAATTTTATCTATAGATTATTAAATGGTCTAGCCATATCCCCGGAATTCTTAGAAATAATTTTTTTCAATATTTCTAATAGAGTCCTTAGGCAATTAGATATGTTTCATGTTCCATTCTACAATACAAACTATAGCACGCATTTGCCTATTGAAACAACATTGAGGGTAATAAATCAATTGAATCTTGAGGTTACAGGCACTTCTTTTAATAAATTTTAGGCAATCTGTACGAACACACTGGAGTAAAAATAAAATATTACAAACGCATTTACACTACTTAAAATCCATTTGTTAATCTAAAACTTATTTGACTAAATTTTAACTTTTTTTTTCCTACTACTTGTATTTTTTTATTTACAATTATCCGTATTATTTATATGTGTTTTGCTTTGTAATTGGGTTGATACCGTTTACATAAATAAATATTGTAAATTTCTACAAAAAAATTATAACTTTAAGTTGCAGCGAGTTTGCAGGTGTTTTAAACTAAATCCTTGCAAATGACACTTTCTGATGGTACCAGTAACTAATTCACAAATTTCCAGCCGGAGATAGGGTCGTACCATCTTACGGCCTCCAGCTTTCAGTCTATATAGAAGTGGAAAAGGTTAAAAATATTGGGAATACTTAAAGGGCGGATTATTACCCCCACCTATCCTATACCTTGAAAATTAAGAATAATTTATGCAAATTTGTATTAAAATAAACTTTTTGATGCTCTATATATACAAATAAAAATTGAGAACCTTTAATAAATGGAGTGTTTAGAAGCCAATCAGTGTAAATGAAACTTAAACTTTTTTTATTCAAAAGTCATACGACAAGAATATGTTCTTGTAGATATAAAAAAATCTAAATTTATATAGATTAAAGAATAACTTTGATCATTTTTAGCAAAACGATGGCTTCTGAAACCTCCAAATGTGCATTTTACAGGGATGGTCGACTTTAAAAACTCTATAAACAGCCTCTATTTAGAGAATATCGTGAAGCAACATTAACTGAATTTAGTTTGTAGGTACAAATAATGTGTACTGATGAACAAAATTATCTAATATTTTTTATACATGTTTAAATGAGAAATAAATGTTTGATAATTTTGTCAATGAGTATTGAGTTTATTTATATAACTTTTAAGTTTAAATATCCTTTGAGTTGCCTATTCATACTTCTATATGTCAGGTATCTTTAAATTTTGCATTCCTAATAATTCTAAAGAAATCAATACGTACTTAAGTATATATTTTCTCTTGGATTTAAATAATATAAAACATGGTAGAATAACTAATTATATATTTGTAGATTGTGGATAAACTTTTTAGACTAATAGATGAAGAAAATTGTGGAGTCATATCAACTGATGCGATAATGGAATTTTTAGGAACCATTACTAATGCAAGGTAAATTGTAAATATTTTGTCAAAAATGTATTTGAACTAAAGATGATGTGGATTTTTAGGCCTCGCGTAGGATTCGATCAAGGTAGCCTGGATCGTCTTGAACAACTCTTTAGGCAAACTGTAGGAGATGGAAAAGAAATTAAAAAAGAAGATTTTAAAAGTATTGTGTTATCCAAAAACGTAAGTAAGATTTAACAAATTTGTTGTATGAATTTCTATTCGATTCCACTTTTTTCTCTAATGCAACACTAAACTTTACCGTTTTAGCCTTTTTTTACTGACAGAGTATTCCAAATATTTGATAAGGACAATTCAGGATCGATTTCGTTACAAGAATTTTTGGATGCAATGCACCAGTTCGCAGGACAATCTCCCGATGATAAAATTCGTTTTTTATTCAAAGTTTACGATCTAGACGGTAAGTGAACAATTTTAAAATAATTGATAATTTATTTTTTTTAACATTCCAGGAGATGGACTGATTCAACACAAAGAACTTCAGCATGTAATACGAGCATGCATGGATGAAAACGGCATGCAATTTAGCGAAGAACAAATTGCAGACCTAACGATGGCAATGTTCGAAGACGCAGATACTAATAATAGGGGAACAATCACATACGAAGCGCTGAAAAATCAATTAGAAAAACACGGCGGACTTTTAGAAAATTTATCAATAAGGTACATTGAATGATCTAAATAGTTTTACTTACGTTGTGATTTTGATTTAAATTCAAATCCAAAATAATAATTTTTAAAATAATATGCAGTTGTAAATAAGAAGGTGTAAACAAAGGATCTTTGTCAAAGGCTCTGTCGAAACTTCGGACTGTTTATTTTACTATTTCCAAAGCTTATGAATTCAATAACGTTCCGTTAGAATATATTTTTTCTTCACAATTAATTGTTAGTATTATTAATATATCTATTGATATAGAATCCCCCTATTCACAGATGTTCAAACAATTAACAAAAATCTTATAACCATATAAATCATCATTTTTTTCATTTCTTTTATTAACTAGTCAACATGAAATAAGTATCACTTTAGTATCAGAAAACACGAGTAATAGTCCAATTAAATAACGAAAAAAAGCTCCTTCGAGCTTACATTAATTTGTAATTGGATGAAACAAAAAGGACCTTGTGTATTTTGATGTGATCTTTCCGAAAAAAAGAAAAAAAAAAGATGTAGCAGTTTTTCAATTTTTTTTTTAAATTAGGGAAAACCGGGTTTTCCGGAATTTTCCATTGTAAAAATGCTAATTATCTGGGCAAGTATCATTCCGATAGTGAAAATAAATGCACCATTCGAAAGAGGAGGCAAAAATAGTTCGGAAATTCATTGCACAGGTAGTTTTAATGGCGAATTTCTCGCCGCCAGAAGTGCTTTTACCAAAAAGTCGTTTTTTCGTTTTTTTTGATCATAACCATGGACATGAAATTTGCGATGAATTTGTGGCGAAATTATAAATGTTAGACATATGTGCCCATGAGAGAAGTTGCGTATTTTTTTGTTGGTTCTCAAATAAAATAAGTCCCGCGGCGAAATCTGACATAATTTTTCGGGAATTCGCAGTAAACCAGAGGCGTAGTTTTTTTTTTAATTTTTTTCCCAAATGATTTTTTCCGGGTTTTCCGAAAACATCTAACAAAAAAAATATATTTGAAAAAACTAACTTCGCCATCGAAAAGAGCACAAAAAATACACAAATAGGTATACTTTAAAAATGTTAGGAAATTAATCCTAAGCCTGAGTGTAAGTTCCAACTTGTGATAAGCTTGCTTTTTGTTCGCTAATATCTGGTAATTCTATATTTTGCACAAAACTCAAGAAATGTCTTATAACAAGTCAGTAAAATACAATTTAATAAATTTTAAGCCTAATAAGTTTAGATATGTAAGAAATTTAAAACTGGAAAACGCAAAAAAATCAAATTACAGTAATGTAGTGTATACACGAGTTTTGGATCCCGCGGAGCGCGTGTAATGGGACTTTTGTCGGGAGAATTCTACAACTTAGAAGAAACATACACATTTTAAACTTTGTATACACATTTAGAAGACATGAAATTTGGGTTTGTTTAATTTTCAGACAAAAAAACTAAAAATTGTCAATTTTAGGCAACTTTTCTCAAAAACCGTGTTTTTTGGTCGTCACTCAATGAACAGTGGTCAAAAAATTAGATAAAATATATTTGCAGAATTTTCCGTAATATAATCGTATTCTAGACACAATAGAGTACTCAAAAAAAAGTTTTGAGCCATTGGGTGCATTTCCTTAACATTCGCTTTCTCATGTCATCAATTTTATCGAACTCTAGTCTATTAACTGTATCAACTTCTGTGTTCTAAGCTATTTTCAAAATTCAAAATTTGCCTCCCCTATCTAAGATTTTTACATCTTTTCTTTTACTTTTATCGTGACTCTTTCCTTTCCTGTCAACCCACAATTTTTAATTTTTTTCTCATTCTTTCGTATGCTAAATTTTCTGTCCTACTCATTTTGCATCGGTTTTGGTTTTATTCCACTTTTACTCGTATATTTATTTACTATTCTAATGTTCCTTTCGTCCTCCTGTATTTGTTTTAAATTTATTCTAAATTTATATTCACACAAATCTTTTACAATCACTTTACATTTCTAATTCTATATATATTTTTTTTCTTCTTCTTTATCTGTTTTCTATCTTCTTATTTACTTAATTTTCTGTTTTCTTCCATTTTTATTCCAATTTTATTCTTTATTTCTTAAATGATTAATTTAATTTGGTTTTTTTTCTTCATATTTACTTCGACTTCTATAATTTGAATCTGTCTTTCTTTATTGATTCCTTTTTCTTTAATTTAAATTTTTATGTCTCTGCATTTACCTCTTCAGTTTCTGTTTATTTCAACACCGCTTACTTCTAAACTTTCTTCATTTTTTATTAACTTTATATTCTTCTAATTTACATATTTCTTCTTTTATTTTCTTTGTTTCTTTCATATTTTTTTCTATAATTTCTTCTATTTTCTGAATTACTTTTTCTTTATCATGTTTAATCAATATTTCTTATATCCTTCTTTCTTTTTTCCTCCAATTTATTTTCCATTCTTCGAATTTCATTCATTAGTGGTATTTTGTATTCCAATTTATATATTTGAATTATCTGGTTAATGATCATTGTAAGATTACTGGAACATTTCGAGGTTTATAAAATTATTATTGATATTTTTAATTATTGCTTAACTTCAGCTTTATATTCATCTATTACGTAAATGTTATTTAATTTTTTAGTATCGACAGATGGTTGGTGCCGCCTAAACCGAACAAAAAGAAGTCTTCTTTATTGAAAAAAATCAAGAACTATAGACCATACTATTTTAGTATTCCCTACGTAAAAAATAATTACGTTTACCTAGCATTTCTTGCAGGATTTCTTCTAGTCAATGCTGCTCTATTTATATCCAGGGCCGTCCAATACTCAGGATCAAATTGGTTTACTATATTTGCCAGAGCGTGTGGTAAGCAATTTAAATTTAACCAATTATTGATGTGGTTCAAAGTTCCAATTTTTGGAACGGCAAATTGGAAACTAAAAATGAATATTTGAGTATAAAATCCTACCTAGGTTTTAAAATTAACTTCGAATTAACAGTGAGTAAAGGTGCGGGACTAGCCCGTGTCAAGTCTTTTTAATATAAGTTTTCGTCTTCTTCACATTCACATTTTTTCTATTAATCTATTTTTATAGAAAGCTAATGTTTAATAGTTAATTACCTTATGGACTCATCATCAAATGACATTAACAATTAAAGTGAATACCATCAATTTTATCTATAATTTTTATTCATATAACTAATCATAATTACTTCCATTTCCAACAACATTTTTCCACGTCACCCTAGGCAGATTTTGAGATGTCCATCTCCATTCAATTTAGGGCTCGAATGTAGATATATTCGTATTAATTGATTGATTGGTTTGGCACTCAGGTCTGGGCTAGCCTGATTATATTAAATGAAATATGTTGGATGTATTTCCAACAATATTTATTATTGAAAATAAAATTTAACCACGTCACTCTACAGACATATCTTCAAATGTTCATCTACATTGAATTTAGAAATTATAGTTAATACGACTTGATGAAAATCTTATTTTTGGTCTTTACCTAAGATGGTCTGGTGGGATATTTTAAGTGGGAAATAGGCAACATGCAAATTAATATGGTACAAATTAGGGTCCTTTGGAAAAGGAAAATATATAAGAACAACTTTGTTTCGTAAATGATATAAGACCATGAAAATATTGAAAAAATAACTATTTGTACATGCTAATCTGACATTTTTCAGGACAGTGCCTTAACTTCAATTGTACCTTCATATTAGTGTTAATGTTGAGACAGTGTATCACCTTTTTGAGGACGCGAGGATATAGCTCGGTTTTACCATTGGACCAACACATTTATTTTCATAAACTTACTGGATTGTTTATATTTGGATACAGCGTTTTCCATACCATTATGCATGTTTGTAATTTCAGTAAGTATTATTTATTTTTAATCAGTTATGATATAACCAGGTCCATTTTTCTAGTGATAATTATTATTAGATTGTACGAAAACTATCACCTAATAAATTTTGATTAATACATTCTTTTGGGTAATTGGTTAAATTTTAATCTGTCTGAATGTTTCTCAATTAACCTGCCACTGAATTTGCCTGTCGGTGAATAGGTCTGTCTGTAAATTGTTCTATCGCTGAGTTGTTCTGTCGGTCAATTGGCTGACGGTCATTTTGGCCTGTCGGTCAATTGATTTACATCCCATTTTACCTTACGATAGTCAGTGTAGCACAAAGATACATCTAAAACTCCTTAGAATACTGTACAAGTTCATACTGTTCTCAAAACAGTTACTTCCGCAAAATTTGTTTGTGTTGTTCTGAGAATTGGATAGCTTCCTGTGTTCAGGGTTGCTCTGGTTTAAGAGTACATCTATTGCCCATTTTATTTAAATAAAAAAAGAAATTTAAAAACATGCACGGATATTTCGAAAAAATTGATGAGAAAATTATTTCCAAATGATCTCAAGTAAATATTTCAAACGCAAATGTATTTAAAAATAATTTTTTTTGTAGGTTTGATTGTGGTGAACGATCCAATATTAAACGAAATGAATTTTACAACCAACCAATGGTTATTTACAAGCAAACCGGGACTATTTGGTTTAATAGATGGAGTGGCTAATCCTACAGGAGTAGCCCTTTTAGTCATTCTTATTGCAATATTTATAAGTTCTCAAGCATTCGTACGAAGAGGAGGATGTTTCGAAGTAAGTACATAAAAAGTTATTCCAATATTTACTATAATCACAGGCTACTCTTACATCAACTATAAATTAATATTTATTTCATGTTTAGGTGTTCTATTATACTCATCTTATGTACGTACCATTTTGGATACTACTGATTCTTCACGGACCAAATTTTTGGAAATGGTTCATCATACCTGGCATAGCCTATGGATTGGAAAGAGCTTACAGGTCTCTGTTTATTGTTACCGAAAGAGGAAAAACTTACATAAGCTCGGGCTTACTTTTGCCATCAAAAGTTACCCATTTGGTTATCAAGCGACCCGTCAGTTTTGATTTTCATCCTGGAGATTATATTTTTGTTAATATTCCAGTTATAGCGAAGTACGAGTGGCACCCTTTTACTATTAGTAGCGCTCCTGAACAAGAAGGTAAATATTTAGTAACAAAACTAATATTACATCCATGGCGACCATAATACTTCATTATTGGCTCGTCGTTATTTACTTTCGTTTTAGTTGTATCGTTAGCTTTATTACCTGCACAATAGACGTATTTCATTATTTAAAAAAAAATCTCGGTTTCTTCTCATTGATTATTAATGTCTGGATGTGAATCCCAATAAAATCGTTTGCTTGGATGTTGATTGTAGCCAGACACTAGTAAAATACCTAAGAAACATTTGATTACAGCAAAATCAGCATTTTTAGAAGAAGCATGCCTCGTTATATAATTTCTCTACCAGAAAAAAAGTTCAAATATTTCAATTGGGCTCATATTTTTGTATGGTCCATTTTTATTAGTAGGAATTATCAAATTATTATGTTTTGGTAAGAACTTTAATATAAAATGAAATTACAATTTTTTTACTTGTCAAAATTCTTTTTTTTTGTTAACTTCAATTAAACAAACGAATATATAGACTATATGAAATAAGGGACCTAAAATTACAAAATGCTAAAACTCAACACTTTCCCTCATTTAAAATTTTCAAACATCTAGTCTCTAGTATCCTTATATGTTATCAACTTATAGTTCTGGAAGGTGAGTCAAATTTGTCAACTCGTGGAAAGGCGTTTTAACCAAATTATTTCAGATGCGGCTTTACTGGCTGCAACGACTTCTGCTTCGGTTGTTGAAATAGCAACAGACGTGTGTCTTTGACTTGGTCGTGTTACGAGTCCTTCTAAAAACAAACAAAGAACGCCAGAAGTAGTCGGTCAGACTATCTCCGCCATGATCTGTGTCACTGTAACCTTCAAGGCTGCCACTTTTATAATTCGATTTATATATTATCCCAAAATATAAACTACCTTGTAGAGAGCTGTTTTAGTAGTATTGTCTAGATTTCTGAAAGCTACTCCAACTGCAAATGCTATATTTGGCCTAGTGGCTATCATTAGATACATAAGTGAGCCGACTATTTTTCTATAAGGAAAATTAATTTCTTCATCTTCAACTTTCCCTGACTCTTAGGTTTTTTACAATGGGTGTAGCTACAGATCGACAATCTTCCATTTTAAAACGTTTTAGTATTCCTATAGTATAGGCTTGCTGATGAATTTTAATTGCATCAATTCTTTGCTCTATTTCTATACCTAAAAAATAGGTTCCGGACTTGACGGTTATTTTAAATACATTCTATTAATTCCTGTACCTCATGCGGATTTGTAGCAGCTACCAGTCCATCGTCTACTTAAATTACTAGCAAAAGTTTATCAGTTCCACCTTTTTCTGACAAAGAGACATGGATCAGCTTCACTCTTCCTAAAGTTAAATTGTTCTAAGAATCTTACAAACCTTCTATTCCAACCACTGCTTGAGTCCATATAAATTTTTGTGTAATCTGTATGCTTTATGAGTTCCATCATTATATCCCTCTGGTTGTTGCATGAATATCTGTTCATCCAGGTCACCATAAAGAAACATACATCGATCTGATGGAGAGTTAGTTTTTCATTTGCTGCAACGCTCAATAGTGCTCTTACAGTTTCCACTCTATATACTGGACTAAACGTTTGATCATAATCGACACCTTTCATCTGAGAAAAGCCTTTTATGACTAAACGAGCTTTATATTTGTTAATCGAACCATCAGGATTACCTTTTATCTTAAATACCCACTTGCATGGTATATACTTTAATCCGTTGGGAAGTTCTTCAAGAGTCCAAGTCTTGTTCTCTTTTAATGAATTAATTTCAGTGTCCATAGCTTTCTTCCAGTTATCACAATCTGTGCTACTTACAGCTTGTTGATAGGAAGAAGGTTCAGAGATTTTAGTGATATCTATTATAGCTGATATAACAAAATCGTTAACACTTTGAGGAGTTCTTATCTTGGATCTGTCTCTCAAAACTCGACTTAACTTTTCAATACTATCTTTATCATAATATTTTTCTTGATCTCTATCTGGTTTTGAATATTCTATCATCTCATTTACTCTATCAAGATATTCTTCTCTTTATTTATTTTCCTCTTCATTTGATTCATTTTCCTTTCTTTTCAAACCTATTCCTTCGATCCTGGTTAAAGAATTTTTTTCAAAAATAACACCTCGTGATCTGATAAGCTTATTATTTTCTCTGTACCATACTCGATATCCATCTGTTCCATCGTAAGCTACTAAGATCCCTTTTACAGCTTTCTTTTCCAGTTTCTTTCTGCATTGCTTTGGAATATAAGCATAGCATGTGCTGCCTATAATGCGTGTTTTAGACCAGGTTTCTTACCAGTCCAAACTTCAAAAGGAGACTTATCCCTAAGAGTTGAACATCCGCTAATATTTAAAATATATTTAGCTGAGTTAACCATTTCGGCCCATAATCCTTGAGGAATACGTCCGTGTGCATGTATTAAAGATCCAGCAGTTTCTACGAGAGTTCTATTCTCGCGTTCTTCAGAACCATTTTGTTCTGGAGTATAAGGCATCACGAAATGTGCTTTATACCATATTTTGACAAATTCTCCGGCGTTGTCTGATAAAAATTGTTGCATCATATGCCCAAGAGCTTTCGTTTTAAGAATAATTTGTACCAGCTTTTTCGCTACTTTAGATTTTTCTTTTATGAAAAATACTTCTCTGTAACTTGAAAAATCATCCTTGAATAAAACATAATAACGATATCCAGAAATGATTGGACAAACGGTCCACAAACATCAGAATGTATAATCTCACTAAGTTTAGAGGTACGAGGTCTTGTTCCAAACTTCCTTCTGTGCGCTTTTCCATATATACAGTATGCACCCTTCACATAAATCTTTATTTAGATCAAGTTCTATCACTTCTCTAACGTGCTTTTTAGACTAATCTCTCATGGAACAGTTGAAGACTGGATTCAGTAGTTACTTCATGCAACTCATTTATGTAGTCTTTGAGTACAGTTTGACTTTCTATCCTTAAAATACATTTTTCAGCTGTTGAGACGAATTGACTATATGGCTTTTTATCTAGGGCAGCCATTACCAAAAACAGATTTTTCTTAATTTGTGGCATCGATATAGGTTTGTAGGACAACGGATCCCTTTCTTAAAGCAACGATTTGCTTTTGTTACAATATGTGATGATGTAAATCAAATATGTATCAAATATCCTGGATGAATGAGTAATATGGCTCGTGGCCCCATTGTCTATATACCAACTCTCATAGTCATAGTCAGCTTCTGAATAAAAACAATTTGTAATGGTTACTAAAATCATACTGCCTTCACAATTTGGATCACTGACTTCATTTGCTTGAGCTGGTTTAGACGGTCTGCCATCTCCTTTCCATTTAGTACATGACAGTAATTGCATATTACGTTTGAAAATGACCTCTTAACTTTGTTATTTCTTTTAAAATTGGTTGATTTGACTAATAACGCTTCTTCACTTTTTTGTTCTTTACCTTTTCCATTTTGCATTAAAGCTCTTTCATAGGTACATAACTGATGAGTTAGATTATCTACAGTTCTACTGTTTTTACCAATTAACATCTAACTCGATCTAAATGGGAAATAAGTTTCAGGTAAAGTACCTAATATTTTACATATCAGAAGTAATTCTGGTAATTCTGTTGAAGAGTTTCTTAACATTTAAATTTTTAGGTCATTCCATAAATTCTTCAGTTTTGACATATAAGTAGCCACATCATCATGTACTTCTTTTTGATAACTGAAGAACTGTAAACAAAGATCATAGGCTCTATCTTCAGATACCCCATCAAAAAGTCTATGAAGCTCTTGCCATATCTCTTTAGCAGATGAAAATCTCATTAGTAAAATCATAGCACTACTTTCTACTTTTCTATATTCATTTAGCAATTTGTTGTATTTGGATACTTCTTCCTCTTTCGCAGCTTCTTTTAATTTGTTTGGTGCTATTAAAGTTCCTTCTACAACCTCCATTGCACCATACCTCTAAGTAGCACGCTGACCTTATACTTCCACGTTGACCAGTTTGTTTTGCACTTTAGTAATCTAATTTGTACCTTCGTTAATTCCATTACTTTTAACTCAACCGTGTATTCTAGGTAATACAAAATGTCCAACTTTATACAATTTACCGCATCTGGGCCCATAAACTGTAGCAGATGGCAGTCTAAACTATTGTAAAATTAAGATTGTAGGGATTTGGCAAAACTCTTTATTATAAAATGAAATCACAATTTATTTTACTTTTTAAAATTCTTTCATAAATTACAAAATGCTAAAAAAGTACCAATAATCGATTTATATCAAATTCGTCCTCAGATTCTTCATTCATCTCTTCATAGTTCTTCTTTTCTCTCAATTTAAACTAAAACAAATGATTTCTTAAATTGCAGACTACATGTGGCTGCACATCAGAGGCGTGGGTCAATGGACAAACAGACTATACGAATATTTCGAACGTGAACAAGAAAAACTTCACAACGGAGAAATTCCTCCATCATCGCCTACTTGTACAGAAAAAAGATTATCGAACGGGAGTATCCACAATAACAACCAAAGCCCTTTGAAGAAGTTGCACGCAACGATTACTAGAACAATATCGAACGGTGATCAAAATAAAAAATCCGGTGTACAATTAGTTGGATTTACTAACGGAACGTTTCACAACGATGAATCTAATAAAGATGGTAACTGCGAGATTGAGTTAACCAATAGAGCCACTTGCAGTACTTCAGGTAGGTCTATAAGTATATTTTTTCAAGAATACGAGTCCCTTTCAATTTAGTTTTGTCCAACTATTGAAATCTTTCCTTTTTAATCACCATGAAACGCTAATATAATATATTCGATGATATATTGGTTATGAAGTAATTAAGACTCTATTGATAATTTTAATTAATGGAAAAACTCTACCTTAATGGTTTCCTTTTAGAATTAAAAATTCAAAATGTGCCAAATAAGGATATTTTTTTATTAACCCTTACATGTAGCACAAAATAAGCATAATTAATGGCGGTCTTGGAAAAATTAGGCTTAAACAACTTGATTATTTTCGAATATTCGATCACTCGATTATTTTCGATTAATCGATTATTTTCGAAGATCGATTATTTTCGAAAATCGATTATTTTCGATTAATAGATTATTTTCGATAAATCGATTATTTTTGATTAATCGATTTTTTGGATTATTCGATTTTTTCGATGAATCTTTTGATTTCGTATAATCTATTCTTTTCGATTAATCGATTATTTTTAATTTGTAGATTTTTCGAATATTTTTCATTAATCGATTATTTTAGTTTATTCGATTACTTTCGATTAATCAATTATTTTCGATAACTCGATTATTTTTTAGTTTTTAATATCTCGCCCGTTGTTTTATTCCTCTAAATATTGTTTCTTGCAAAACGAACCAGATAAGAAACAACGACTATGGAAGATACAGGGCGATGCATTCGTGGACTGCTAGTTTTTAAATCAAGAAGCCACACTTCGGTCACCTACAATGGGTGTTATTTGCATTTTTAGGTTGTGACGTTTTAATTACTCCGGAACTACTCGTATCACCCTGTCCATACTTTTACTAGACTTAATATCTGAATACGAATAAGTATTATATTTTTCTAAATATTTTTCTTTTATATAGATTTGCCGAACAGACCAAGAAAACTATCGCCAGAAAATAGACTGCAAAGGCTTCTGTTTACCCACAAAGCTCCTCTAGAAAAATCTCTCTCAATGCCTGATATGCAAAATAAGGCGAAGAAACGAGAAAGAATGATGGTGTACGTATTAAATTAACAAAACTAAACTAATCACAAAATAAAATTATTAAGGCGAGGTCTCACTAAATCATTTTTAATAAATCATTTTTAACGAATCAATAATTTTTAAAGAATCATTTTTAATGAATCATTTTTTCTTGATTGATTTTTTATGAACCTAACTTGTGTTCACGTCTTGTCATAATATACCTACATGATCATTTGAAAACCAATTAGTTTAAAAGATACACATAGTTTCAGTTTATCAAGAGTTTAAAAATACGTACCTACTTACAAAAAAAAAACTTCAGTGAATAACATGGAGTTTTATTTTTTTAGACTTAGAGAATATATGAGATCAGAATCTGAAAAAAGCTTCAACGAGTGTCAGATAAGAAGAGCGAGGCTTAAATCCTTGGGATTGGCCTATTTGAGTCCACAAAATAAAAGTTTGGCTCAAAGTTTTAGATACATGAGAAACAAGCCAACAATTATTGCATTTAAAACGCCTAGTTTAGAAAACTGTGAGAAGAAACAATCGAGCAGTTCAATGGGAAGTATAGGAAGCATGGGTAAGCATAATATTAAAATGTAAACGTTAAATTATATTTTTTGTTACAACGAACATATATGTATTGTCTGACATTACATGTATTATTCGTATTCATACTTTTTTTTATCAAAATTGATGATGTCACTCAACATCATCAATTTAAAGCAAAATATTCATTAATTTATTTTTAATAATTGCAGTTCGACAAATTAGCCAAAAAAGTTTCACCTTTAGTCCAGAGCGGCAGGCAGAAGAAGGACATTTTGCGCCAAAATTCATAGAATCTCAATTTACACCAAACTTGGTCTCCCTGAAACCGATGAATTATCCTGTTGGGAAACCTTTAGAGGTAAGATAAAGGAACTAACAATTAAATTAATAATACAATATTTATTCAATTAAACGTCTTTATTGTAAGAGGTGAAATGAACATGACCTCAATCAATTTGATATCGTGCTACCGATTGACTTGAAATAATTGCGGCGATTTAAATTTTTTACGGATGTGCGCTGAAAAGAAAAACAAGTATTAGGAAAATTGGGAAATGTCAAAAGGGAAAGAATATTATTTAAGGAACTTAAAAAGTTACCTTTTTCGCAATAATTATTCTCTATTTAAGGATTTACAACAAATATTCTTATAAAGTCCACTATTTCTGTCAGAAGTAAATTTTAATATATTTTTTTAATATATATATATATATATATATATATATATATATATATATATATATTGAATTGTAGTCGTCCGTGGCATCCGTATAGATATGACCCTTTATGGCATCCGCCCAATATACACCATGTATACTGAGAAGAATTTAAAAATACTAATAGCGTCTTTCGTGAACTCTGTAAGTTTGACAACACTGATCCGTTTGAAATTGCATTAAATGTTTCTAGTTTGTGTAAAATTCAGCCCCTTTTAGACCTTAAAACCGCATGTGTTTATTTTACGGACGTTTAGTTGTACTTTGAATAAGACCCAAAAATAGATATTTGGGTATTGCTCGTATTCCTTTTACTTTAAATAAATAAAGTGCCTTGGTTTAATTGGACATAAATTTTTATTTAATTTTTTGTTTTATAGGCGACAGATATATTTTGGATAACATATTCTTTATCTTCTGGTTCAGTAAATTATTTTTAAAAACATGAGGAACTAAAACACATGTAATTTTTTAAAACAGTTAAATCCCCATCTTTTGTTTTACAGCGTGTGGAGGTGTATTCGAAATAATATAATTTGATTTAACAAGATATATACAGTAGGAAAACAAAAACATGAGTGTTTACAAATTTAAAAAATATCAGTGGCGTTAAAATATAGAATAAAATTAAAAAGCTTACAATTATTTAGAATTAAAATAAACGTTAGATAAATATTTTATGTCTGTTTTAATATTTTTTTATTATGTATCATTTCAGGGATAGTTCTTTTGTTTTATTTGATTTATTTTCGAGAATTTGTACATTTTCAAAACCAAAAGAGTGCAAAAAATGTTCTATATAGAACTTGTGTATTTCTTATGACTCCTAAAAAGACAAAAAACAGTCCAAAAATGACGTTCTCCTTAGTAAACAAAATCAATCAAAGAAAAATTGTAATAGGGTATTTTTTTTTCTAACATTTTTCTTTAAACTTAAATTGGAGTTAATATAAATTTGGGTTAAACATGTAATATTAATGGATTTTTAGTTTTATAATGTTACTATTTTCTATTAAAACTTGGAAAAAATAGTTGTTTAATTATACATAAAAGCACAAGATTTTATGCCGTGGCTGGTGTTTCATAGCCGAAGCAAAGAGTTATGTTTAATTAAAATTTAAAATTGTCACTTATCCTCAAATTTCTTAAATACGGACAATTTTAGGAAAGTTATGTATAATAGAAAATATATAGAGAATAATTTTGCAAACAACTTTTATTTAAGGAAGTTTCTTCTCCAAGTATAAATAACAGATACATTTAATAGAGTAGAAAAATTCCCTTGTATAAAGTAGCCCCAGATTAAAGCTTGTTTAAAATTTAGTGTTTTTCTCTTTATCCGCTTTTGAGTTATGTTCAAAATTCAAAATTTTCACTTATCCTCAAATTTCTCAAATACGGGTCATTTTACGAAAATTATGTATAGAAGAAAAAATAATTTTGGCAAAAATTTGAATCAAGGAAGTTTTTCTCCAAGCGTAAATAACAGATATATTCAATAAAGTAGAAAATTACTCTCTCATAAAGTAACCCCCTGATGTTCCAACTATGCCCAAAATCTAAGCAGCTTACCGCATGGTAGATTGAAGCTTAAATTTATAATTTGTTGCTTTTTTTTAATCCGTTTTTGAGTTCAAAATGTTCAAAATTCTAAATTTTCACTTTTCCTTAAATTTCTCGAATACGCTCCATTTTAAGAAAATTATATATGGAGCAAAAATTCTAGAGAAAATTCTAGAGAAAAACTTTTATTTAAAGAAGTTTCTTCTCTAAGCAAAAATAACAGATGTATTCCATAAAATATAAAAAGATACCCTATACAGTACCCCCAGATGTTCCGACTAGGCCCAAAATACAATCAGTTCACCGAAGGGTGGATTAAAGCTTAAGTTTAAAACGAATTCAAGAGCCCCCGAAACGTAAAAATCCGTCAAAAACTTGAGGTCGAAAAAAATCATGATTACTATACTTTCCTTATCTGTATGTACACAGATAGGAAACAAATAAAACTTAAGAATTTTTTTTTCTTGAAAATCAACACGCATTGTAGTAGAATAAAGAAATTTGATTATTTTTTATTTGACCAACTGTTTGTTACTAACGCAGTATAACATTTATAATTAATATTTAAGGTAGGTACTCCATAAAGTAAAATAAAAAATATGATGTACATAGGGTAAAAATTGTCTTACAGCTTGTATTTAAACCAACCACTTCTCAAACTATCCCTACATTTATTTTTAAATATTTGTAATTATGATTTTTATCCTCATTTCAGTAATATATTTGCTCTACTTTTAGCTTTAATAGTCAAAATTACTGTAAAAATTAGAGAAATATTAGACAACATTCAAACTTTGGATTTTGCAAGAGATTTATTTCCTTTTTATTTTATTTTATTATCAAATAACTCGGATATTAGCCATTCCAAAACCTATGCAGTGCATGTGTCACATAAAATAGACATTTTTATTTATTAAACTTAACATTTTTTATAATGTTACAAAAAAATTCTTTTCTAAAGTTTTAATAGTTGGTTAAATTTTTAAATACAATGCTAAATAAGTAACATATGCTTGACTGGCTCAACACTTGATTTCAGATCTTATTATTTACAATGGAAACCTTTACAATGGAATCCTTTACAACGAAATGATTTATTATTACCTATTTGAGAGCGGTTCAAAGAATTAGAATCTCTTTTTAAAAACATTTTAGGCATATCGAATGATCTAAAAACAAATTGGCCTCTTCGCCCTTTAAATTCATTCTCGTATACAAATTTACCAATGGATTATTTCTGGCAATAATTATTATAATATTGAAAACTGTTCATAAGGCCAAACTTTATTCTCGTGTGTTATTTAAAAAATGTTTTTTTTTATTTCATTCTATTAAAAAGCATGTTCAATTTGAGATTAAAACTTTATCATGAATTTAAATAGTTTTTCAAAAAATCAAAGAAGCAACATATACTTTCCAATTATACAAGGTTCTCTAAAAAAGTAATACAATATCAAAGTTTTCCGTACTGATTTTAAAGACGCAAAAGAAACATTTGAAAACCATTTTTTTGGAGTAAATGGTTTTCATTATTATTCAAAAATGTTTACCAATGTACTACTTTTTTAATTTTAAACAAATCTTTATAGGGTACATCAGTACGGAAATACATCATTTTCCCATTTTCTTTAATTGTATTTTATATCACCATTTAAAAGAACGTTTCTTAAAGTTTAATTTGAGTTAAGCATTCTCTATACCTAAAACTAATAATTTTGGGAGATTTTTAAATCTAAATGACAAAAAAGATAATTCACAAAATAGTTTAATTTTAACTGGTCACTGGTTGACTGGAAATAGACTGTGTGTTAATTAGTGATTAGAATTTTACTAGCTGTAATTTATTGATTGACATTTTTTTTACAATATCCTTAAAATTTAATAACTATTTAGGAAAAATGTGTTTATTGGAATCGTAAAAATATTATTATTTTAAAAGATATTTTTTATTAAATATGTGTAAAATGTTTTTATTGAAACGACAATTTAAATAAATACATAAGAAATAGTACCTAATAAAAAAATGTAAAAAGAAAATTTCAAATAAATGGTTAAATATTATTAAAATTTATAAAGTACTAACTAGTAACTACCTATTTGTGACAAATGTGTTATTGGTTTCGTATATGTTATTGTTCTTATTTTAAAAAACATTTTTCAGCGAATAAAAGTAAAAATGTTTTTATCGAGACAAAAAATGTATCGAATACATAAAATAAAGAGCAATAGAGCAATTTTAAATTTAGAATGAGGATATTATAATGCTTGGCATTTTATATTATACTCTTCACAGTTTAACAGACCCTCTTAACCAGCGATTTTTTTATAAACATTTTTTTTATTTGGGAATAAATAGGCTTCCCAATTTTTATTTAGATTTTTTTCTTTTAGTAATTAATAGGCTTCATCTCCTTATAGAGCTTGATTTTTATTAAACATTTCAAGTTGATTTATACTTCTTTTAGATGAATGATTTTTTTTTAATTTTAACCCAACTTAACCCTCTACTGTTATTCAGATTTTTTAAAAATTTAATAGGGTTCGTCCTCTAATAGAACTTGATTTTTCCTGAAAATTTAAAGTTGATATCATGTTTCGTTTTTGATTTATGATTTTTTAAAAGTTTCAACCCCCCACTAATCTCCCCATTTTTAATCGGATCTATTTAAAAATCAAGAGACTTCGTCATCTCATAGAGCTTGATTTTTTTTTAAATTTCAAGTTGGTATCATGTTTCGTAATAGATTTATGATTTTTTTACATTTAAACCCCGCTTAAACCCCTACTTTTATTTTTTTTTTTTTTTTAATTTTCTAGACTTTGTCCCCTTATAGGACGTGATTTTCCCTTAAAATTTCAAGTTAATATCATGTTTCGTTTTTGATTTATGATTTGTTTAAAGTTTTAACCCCCCATTAAACCCCCCTTTTTAATCAGATTTATTTAAAAAAAAAATAGTCTTTGTTCCCTTATAAAGCTTGATTTTTCCTGAAAATTTCAAATTTATATCATATTTCGTTTTTAAATTATGATTTTTTTAAGTTTTAACTCCCCTATAACCCCCTATTCTTAATCAGATTTTGAAAAAATTATTAGGCCTCGTCCTCTCATAGAACTTCATTTTTCCTAAATGATCTATAATTTTTTTTAAGTTTCAACCCCCCCTTAAACCCCTCATTTTTATTCCGATTTGTTTCAAAATCAATAGGCTTTGTCCCCTTATAGAGTTTGATTTTTTCTATAAATTTCAAGAAGATATCATGTTTCGTTTTTGAGTTATCGTGCGGACAAAAAACGTGACATCGGACGGACAGACAGACGGACAAAAGTAAACATATAATACTCTTCACAGACTACTGTGTGAAGAGTATAATAATGTTGTAAATATTTGGTAAAATATTATTACAATTTATTAATTTCTAATTAGTAACTATTTCTATTTAGGACAAATCTATTGAATTCGTACAATATTATTCTTATTTTAAATAAATACATGTGAAAATGTCATTTGTTTTATTAGCCAGAAAAGCACAAGATTGAATGCCGTGGCTGGTGTTTCATAGCGGAAGCCAAGCTGAGACTAGGGAACCACCCAAGGCATTATATCTAATTTTCTGCTGTGTGGAACATATCATTTTTTCTCCGAATGCCTTGGCTGGTTTCCTAGTCTTAGCTACGCTTCGCCTATGAAACACCAGCCACGACATTAAATCTTGTGCTTTTTTGCCTAATAAAACAAATGACAATTTAACATTTATCTATTAAAAATGTTGTTTAAAATAAAACTAATATTAAACGAATTCAATAGATTTTGTCCCAAATAGAAATAGTTACTAAATTTTTTGTATTGACGTACCCTATAAAGATTTGTTTAAAATTAAAAAAGTAGCACATCGGTAAAAATTTTTGACTAATAATGAAAACCTTTTACTGCACAAAAATGGTTTTCAAATGTTTATTTTGCACTATACACGTCTTTGAAATCAGTACGATTTTTATATAAAACTGGTTATAGCGTGTGAAATACCCTGTAATATCTCAGACTATTTTATTGTTATAATAAGAAAGGCAAGGAAAATTCAAATATATGAAATACAAGGTGTCCCATTTTGGAAAACTTTGATGTGTATCACTTTCTTGGAGAACCTTGTATAATTGGAAAGTATAATGTCGCTTCTTTGATTTTTTGAAAAATTATTTAAATTTATGAAAATGTTTGTGTTAACTGGTAGTCATAGAATGGAATAAAAATTTTTTTTTTAAATAGCACACGAGATTAAAGTTTGGCCTTACCTCGGGAACTGTTTACCTGAACAATTTCTAGATTTTTCAACAAAATCGTTGGAATAAATTATGTTTAATTTTGTAACTTGCCGCTATATCTCACGATAAAGGTATATTTTTTTAAAAAATATAATTGTTTTTCACAAAAAAAGTTTAATGTTTCATTATTTGTCAGGTGTAACGAAAATAAAACATGTAAATATGTTTAGTTTTGAAAGAAATTCGTAGGAAAATTAATGATTCCACGTCGTTTATATAGATACTAAAAGTTAGTCATTTTTTCAATATTTGAAAAAAAAAAAAACTTGGTTTCTTGTACCCAAAGCGGCTTTTTATTGACACTTTAAAGACTTAAAAAGATATATTTTTACTGCCTAGGCAGAAAAACAGACTTACTATGTAACGTTCCAGGTAATAAGTTAATTCAAACGGAAAGTTGATGGAATAATATTTATCGGTGGATACGAATGACTTTAAAGACCTAAAAATTATATGTTAGAGTTCTTGCTATTTAATGATTTTGATTAAATTAATTGAAAGTAGTGTACTGAATTGGTAGTATAAGAATTGTATTTGTAATCTTGGGCTAAATAAGTTTTCCCCTCTTTGCTCCCATAGTTGTTTGGCGGCAAAAAACCTGACTTTAAAAGAAAAAAATATATATTTTGAATCATTGGTTAGTCTTAATGTTTTGTTTAATCGGTTAATCGGTATAAAAATTATATTTTGTTTTAAATAATATTTTAAACTGAATTAATGATTTTTTCAATAAAAATGATCATTTTTATTTATTTTTTAACTTTCATGACACTAAAGTCCATCTAAACCAAAGATTTCAGCGAATAACAATATTGAAATTTTCAAGCATCGCCGCCCAGTTTGTCCGCTAATTTCTCCTAGCTTATGCCTTATACGATTAAAAGCGTTTTAATTTTATCAACATTGGCAGACAAATCTGTGCAAATTTTTATACAAAACAAAACTGTTCCTCACAGATTACAGTTTAAAAAATGGCAGAATAAGTGTACCTAATTTAACCAGTATATTTCAAAAGATATAATAAAAATAGCTTTAAAAACACGTTATTTTCTCGGAAGTAAATCGCAAGGGCGCCCCATCCTAGTGAAAGTATGTTACAGAATCTATAAAAATGAAAAGGCTGAGTTATAAACCAATATAAGATCTGGCAACAACGAAATGGATGCCATCAAACCGAAAACGGAATATACAGAGGCCACCAGGTACTCAAAATGAATATGTATATCATTGGATGCCATTACCTCCTTTAAATATATCTCAGAATATACAGCACACGAAAGTGGCGGCAGTTGCGGTCATTGCTCAAACTACCATGTTTAAAAACATACAAAAATAGGCTGTTTTGGCATCCCGCCAATATTTTGCCGAGAGTTAGTATGGGTAGGATCCTTTCATTTGCGATGAGTTTCATCGAAAGTCCTCGTGGCATCTGTATATCGGATGCCACGAGGACGTGGATGCCACGGCAGACGCAATTTTAACATGGAGGGATGCCACCAAGGCCTATAAATAAATATATATATATATATATATATATATATATATATAAGAAAAAATGATATCAATCGATACAGTTTCTGCTAAATTTTTTGAATTTTCCATGTGACAATTATAATTATAAAAATGTATATTTAGTTTCTGATGATTGCTAATAGCCAAAAGCTAAATTTTAATGAGTATTAAATGTTTACAATTTAAAATAAATGCTAATCAATTTCCTTCAATCATTCCAGACATTGAAGGGTGTTATTTTTCGTTTTGATAAAAAGATTATTTAAAATAAACAATCTTTTATATTAATATTTTTTATTAAGAGACCTAAATTTATGAAGAAAGAAGTATGCCCAGATATTCGTATAGAAGTTTTAGACAAAGAAGGAACCGAGGTGATTTTTGGTGTAAACTAAACAAATATGTCTGCTTTAATAAAAAATATACAGGCTGAGAAAGTGGAAACACGTTTTTATTTTTTACTTTTAGTGAAAATATTCTTCATAGAAGTTTTTGCTTGTTTTAAAACTAATAACAATCCATACAGAAGTTGAAAACAAATTTCACATTTTTCATATTCAACTTATGGTTGAATTATTATTAATTTTGAAACAAGCAAATACTTTTATGAAGAATAATATTTTCTCTAAATGTCGAAAATAAAAAAGTTTTTCGCCTTGTTTTTCTATCTGTCTGTAGAAATAACGACATAATAGATATGAATAATTTATTTTAGTACTTAATGCTAGCTTTTATTAATTGTAACTTCTAATTTCTCATATGCAGTGGTTTTAAATGTTTGCATTTGTCTAAATTCGTTTTTTGAATATAAAGCTGCCCGTTCTTTAACATCTTTTTAACCGCTACCTTTTTTTGGTGTACCTTATTCACAACTAACCCACTCAGACGTTCTTTGATGTCGTATTTTTATAGTATTAAATAATTTAAAACCTACTGTAATTTCACGATCAAACTATTGTGTTTATAGATATATTTGGATGGCCCTTACGGAGCTCCCTCAAGCCATATTTTCAGAGCTCAACACGCCGTTTTGATAGCCACAGGGATAGGAGTCACGCCGTTTGCATCCATATTACAGTCAATCATGCACAGATATTGGAAAGCCAGACATACATGTCCGAAATGCAGGTTTGCTTGGGCAAGCGATATACCAGCTACAGTCATGAATCTAAGAAAGGTCAGTCTTGTGCTAGATATTTATCTATCGTGTGTGGACAAAAGAGTATAAGTCAAAATTTTGGGTAAATTGATTTCAGTCATCTATACTTAGTGTAAAACGTCCTCTGCTGATTGGTCTAAATGAGATAAGTCAATATTTTTTATTAGTGTCGCTATTAAACTTGGACTTTATACCATAAATTACAAAAATAACTTTTTTTTGTGAGAAAATAAGAATAATAAGTCGATTTGTAAGACATGTATAATATAGATTTACTCAGTTTCTAAATTTTTGACTTATACTTATCAAAGAATATGTACATTCTAAGATCAAACCTCTTTATTGTCAGAGGTGAAATGAACATGACCTCAAAACATTTAATATCGTGCTGCCGATTACCTCAAAAAATTTGCGGCGATTTAAGTTATTTTACGGATATTCGCTGAAAAGAAAAACCATTATTAAGGATAATACCTGACATAAGAGAAAGAATTTTTTGGAAATATTTTGTTATTTTTTTTTGTGATTACATAATTTCTGGAAATTTTTAGTTATGATTATACAGATTGTCTTATTAGGAATGGGACGCAGAATAACTAAAGATTCTCTGATTAAAAATAAGATGATTAAACGAAACATGCTTAGTGGATGGCCTGTGGGTAGTTTCTTTCAAATAAAACATTGGTTTTTACTCAAAACTTGTAATAATTTCAGTGACGCCAAAACGCAACCATTAATATCATAACAACTAAAACCAAAACCAAAGAACATCTGTCTGCTTTCGCCTATTCGCTTAACATTGACAACTGACTTTTAACTTAGAACAGAACTAAAACTACACAGAATATTAATAACTAAAGAGCAAGCTTCTTTCTTGTTAAACGTCAGACTGTACAAGACAATAATAAAAGAACACACTTATTTGAATTTTCTCGGGGAATACTACAGTTCAAATATTACTGGTTTCCGCCAACATCAACGACGATCGAGGTCTGGCATCTGTGTTCCGGAAGAAGTTTGGTCGATTGCCAGAATTTCAAGATCAGTTACCAACCCCTGGAAAAACAATGAAACTTCAAGATGGATCGCGTTATCTTTTCTATTTGGTAACAAAGAACACCTTCCGAGATTGATCCACTTATTATGTTGCGTTTCCTATCTTTATATCCCTGATCTGTAGGAGTAGGCTTTGAACCACATCCGAATTCAGAACTAATAACAAAAATGTCCGTATCTCCCCCAAACTTTTGATTTAAAGGCTCTATTTGATTAAACTATTTTCTATTGATTTAATTATTTTTCTCATAAAATAAAACTTTGAAATTATCAACAATTGCATTTTGATTTCAGGTCGATTTCTTCTGGATAAACAGAGATCAGAGGTCGTTCGAATGGTTCGTGAATTTGCTATCTCAATTGGAAATCGAACAGGCCGAGTTAGGTGGAGCGATGGAAAGATTTTTAGAAATGCACATGTACATAACTAGTGCCTTACAAAAAACGGACATGAAAGCTGTAGGATTGCAGTTAGCTCTGGACTTATTGCACGAAAAAGTACTATTTTTTTTTGTTTTTAAAACTTTAAAGTTCATATTTATACCCTTTATTAAACAGCGAATTTCATTTAAAAATGACTAATAGTCTTTTGTGTTCAATTACTTTAATCATTCTAGTTTTCTTAATTACTAATTAAACTAGTTAAAAACTGCTCCCCTTGAATAATTTTTAAATTTATTTATTGCTTACAGGAAAAAAGAGATTTGATAACGGGTTTAAAAACCCGAACAAACGCTGGTCGTCCGAATTGGGATAAAGTTTTCAAGCAAATTTTGGACCAGAAAAAAGGTAAAGTAACGGTATTCTACTGCGGTCCTCCCCAATTGGCAAGGATATTAAGAGTGAAATGTGATCAATTTGGTTTTAGCTTTAGAAAAGAAGTATTTTGATTGTTTTTGTAGATAGTTTTATTTTGTAAAGTATTTATTATTGTAACTGTAGTGTTGTTGTTTTGTGTTTTAAATATTTTACTGTGTAACATACCTCAGCAATGTAAACGTACTATATTTTTTTTGTTTTAAATGGTGGCTGACATCAAAACTCATTAAACAAATAATTTTTATTTTAAACTTATCAGACCACTGTTTTCTTATATAACCAAATTACTTTGTATAAATAATAATACATTGCCGAGAACAAATTTAAATGATTTTATTTTTATATTGTCCCAATTTTCTTTATTTACATGTTGACTATAAAATGTGCCTTTATGTAGTTTTTTTAATAAAACATCTTTAAAACCAGTTTTATTTTCCTCTTAACACAAAAACTAAGTAATAAACATTATGCTTAGCTTCAATTGTACATTTCAAAAAAAATTAACTTACTTAAAGTTTTATCCAACAACACTCTGGCGTTAAATTAGTTGAGATAGTCTCCCCGAGATGGCGATTGTGTCAATATGACAGAACATACTGCATAAACAACGGCATAGCATACTTTTAATATGCCTCCGAGATAAACGCTATGGCGGATTAAAGTTGTTCTGTGTGGGCAATAGTGGCACAAATGAGTAGGTAGTAATGCTTTGTTTAAGCATTAGTGGCATATGTTTGGAGTTATGCCACTACAGTTCCCCTATTTTCGATAAATTTAGTAAAAGGTGCCAGTATAGTTAACAGCTGTTTTCTTATATAAACTGTGACAGTTGGATTCAACAATAGTGTCATATCTTTCATTATCACCATTTATGAAAACTTAATTGGCTAAAAAAATTTGATATCCAAAAACTCATTGTGATCACAAACAAGCTTATTATTGTTATTCAAATTACATTTCATATCAATGATAGTAATATGTTTATTTACATCACAAAATTTATAATAAAATAATATTTAAAATGAATTTTCGAGTGTACCTTTATATAGCGATTTGATTTGAATTCAATGTAAATAGAATAGTTGTGCGCGACGAAGATGTGGCGTAACGCCAGAAGTAGGGAAAAGGGTACAAAGGTTTCGTACACATGAGGCCGGGATAATCTATTATCGACCACATCTTTTTGACAAATTACTGGACTGATAGATTCTTCATTGGAAAGACAATTACCACCGATCGTCTTCCATTGATGCTACATACATACATCTCTCTTTATTCCCGATCCACCAAGAGCTACAATTTACACTTTCAGGAATCACAAAAAAGCAGATTGGCCACTATTTCAGATAACTGTCTCTGCAAATATTCCATAACAACGCCCGCTCAATTCCCCACATGACATCGACACACTGGGTAATCGAAGTCCAAACCACCATCTCCTATGCCGTTGAATCTTCCCACATAGAATTCGACGGTGTAACACACACAACACCCTACGAAAAAGCCCTAGCCCACAAAACATATCTTGAAGTCACCTTATAGAACCCCCGGAAACCCCTACTTTGACCACCAATTTAGACACGAGACAGAACACAAAGTCCTTCAGACATTTGCTGCTCCAGTCCCACCCTTGGATTTCGAAAATCCCCTCACAGCCCCATTCATCCTCGAAGATATACAATACGCCTGCCAAGCCAGGCTAAAATACAGCCTCTGTGCCCAATTCCATACATAGAAGAACGCTAAAACATCTTCCCGAAACCATTTTTCCCATCCTCACTCTACTCCTAAACGTCTGTCTGCCCTTCTCCTACTTCCATCACTCCACACAGGACGCAATCACCTATCGTTACACTACTGCAGACACTGTAGTAAACTCCCAACAAATCTCATTAACCGTTCAAAAGGCCTTTGACCAAGTCTGGCATGCTGGACTAGTCAAAAAGTTCATGAACATCTTCAAACTCATTCAGTCTTACCTCACCGACAGAACAATCACGGTCAAAATAGGCAACACCCTGTCAGACCCATTCACCCCTCTTGCTGGGGTACTACAGGGCTTCATCCTGGCCCCTCTTCTATACCTCATATACACCCACGCTATCCCGTCTCTAAACCACAAATCGTCAAAATGCCTTCTATACGTCGACGATACTGCTCTGCTCTCTGTGAGAGAGGGTCTCAATCCACAATTTATTATCTTTAAATATCCGAACTTAAAAAAAGCGAGCCAGTCTCCTTGGGGTACTGTGTGGACGATTTTGATGGTGCAATTCAAACACTTTAATTCACATATATACGATTCTTTTATCCGCCCAGTTGTACAGAGCAGTACCCTACGGCGTACTTCCTACACATATTTCCCACAAATTCACCACACTTGAGAGACGTATACTCTAACGATGCCACTATCTTACGTTTCGTTCTCCTAACGGAGAAGTTTTTGAAAAATTTCCAGTATTCCCATTCTAACACGTTTCTAAACCCTCAGGAAACAATACGTCTTTCGCACTCTGAAAGGCTCAAATACACTCCCAAAACACTTACAAACTCCTTGGCGCCCACCACAATATATCCCCTATAGTAGTGCATCTCACTTGTTAAAGAGTTGGCACTAAGTTTGCAGCGCAAGAATGCGTCTGTGTCTGGCCGCTCAACTAACTCGATATGGCGGTAAATTCAAATATAATTTAAAGGCGAAATTTAAATTTCCCGCCAAAATTGTAAATTTTCAGCCGCGGAATGGCGGGAATTTTTAAATATATTCATTCGGCAATAATTATTGAGAAGTATATTGCATGTTCGATTAAACGAGCTGTAAATCCAGGCGCTATTTTTATTTTGATAGCTAAAAATAATACTAATTCTTTTATTATTAGCTATTACAATAAGAGCAGCATTTGGATTAACAACACATTTAAAAGAACATGTAATATAATTTTCAATTTTACCTAAATCACTTATTTTTTACCTATAGAGGTTAGATCTGAAAAAAAATTGGCTCTGGTAAAAAAACAAAAAATTGTATAAAGTATTTTATTTGAAAAATTATAAAACTTATTTAATATATTTTAAAGACGAAGATAACTCTAGCCATATCCATTTTACTGAAAAAAAAAAAGAAACTATTAAATGAAATCATTTAGTTATTAAGAGATGTTTGTGATAATACAGTGGCAGCTATCGAATGTTGTACAATACGTTTTGCTAATGTCCAAGTAAAAACTACAAAGAGTTAGCATTAGTGAGAGAAGGAATAGAATACTATGAACGTAGCCAGCCGGCTACGTGGGGATGCATCACACCGTGTGCCTGTTCATATTACACAGCACACAAGGCAACATTCATATTATTCGTTTCCTGATCGAACTAATGCGCTAACTCTTTAGTTTTATTTTCGATTCTAGCCAAGCGTATTCGAAAGTGTTCATTAGCCGATACTGTATATAAATGCTAAAATCAATAAGTGACATAAAAAAATTTAGTTTAAATGGACATCTACTTCGAAAAAAGTAAATTATTATACTTGAATTTTAAAGGCTGTTGCCACTGGAAAACTATTATCTAGGGCTTGGATGACAGCCATAGGACTCCCTCCTTGAATCGTGTCCATAGGAAAGCATAAGATCATAGTTAAATTATAATATTAAGAGGGTAGGTATTAACTGAAAAATTATTACAAACTTACCTCAAAATTGGCACCTACATTAAAAGAAGGGAAAACGGAAACATAAAATTGTTATACTTGAATTTTAAAGGCTTTTCCCACTGGAAAAGTATTATCTAGGGCGCAGACCCTTGGATGACAGCCATAGATAGCAATCCCTCCTCGATTCCTCTTTTTCTGAGTTTGTTGTACGTTTTGTTTCCCATATTAAATAAGAAAGCACTTAATACAACAACACAAATCACAATAAATATCGCTGAAACAAAATTAATATTAAATTTCGTAGAAGAAAAAATCAAAAAATTATCACTTGTCAACACTGACACTTCACGCTTCACTTATAAAAACTCAACGCTAAAGAATGAAAGATGATTCGAAATAGAAATTATTAACTGGTATCTCTTTCTTTTATAAGTATCTAAACAAAGAGAAGGAGTGGGAGTGAGTAACGCTCCGATCAGATTGTTTTGAATTCGTCGTCAACCAATGAACGTGCCGAAGTCAAAAATCAATAACGATACTAGCGCCATGAGACCTGTGTCTGGCCGCAGCGTAACTCAAAGCCATTTCTTGAATCCCAGTTACATTACTATAGGGGATATATTGTGGCGCCCACGCCACCTCCTACTATTTCGAAATTCGAAAAGGAAACTCCCACAACGTGGTTTAAGATTACTCTCAGACCAGAGCTGCCAGAATGAAACTGACAAATCGTACTGAAAAACATTTTAAAACGTACTGAATTTCAAAAAAACGTATTGAACAACAAACTTTAAAAAAAAGCTATATTTTATCAAAATGTACCAATACCTAAATTAAACAACACCTTAAAAATAGCTAAAGATTTAAAATCATTACCTATTAGACATTCCAACGACCTGTCCAAATGGTCCAGTTTAGATATGGCAACTCTCTTGCCATGTTGTCATTAACAGGATCAGTGATACATATATAGTTATTTAGATTGCTCAAAGCTGGTCGTTTGCGAGCGGCCATATTGCCTGGCAAATATTTATTAATTTAAATCCGTTTAGCAAAAATGTGTTTTAAATCCAATTTTCAGCCTTTGGATATTTAATAAAAATAATTGCTTACATTTTTTACTTCAAGGCATAAGCTTATGTTTATTTTTAAAAATATGGATAATCAATCTATGTAACTATCTATTTTATTGACCTTGTCAAGTCACTAGGCTCACAGGGTTGCCATAATTTTGCCATATATCATAACCTGTCAAAACCCACTGGTAGCCATTCAGTTTGGAATGCCTAATTAAATAACTTTTATAGAAACATTTTAAACATTTACAAAAAATTTACCATATAGCAACAAATGGAACAAGTGGACTAAAAATGATTTACTTGTGGTTTAACGCTGTTATTAAATTATACAATATTTATGTATAACAAAAAAACGTCTTATTCCATTTTACTTTCAGAATTACAACCAAAAAACATGCAAAAATTTCAATTTCAAATAAATTATTTGACTCATCACATGACTTAATTGTTAACTGCCCTCTATCGTTAGTAAAACACGTCACTTAATTGAAATATGTCCAAATAATACTGAAAATGGTACTGAATTGACTATTTTTAAAAAAAATGTACTAAAACAACGCAACACTGACGTACTGAAAAAGTTTAAAAAATATTGAATTCTGGCAGCCCTGTCTCAGACTCCCAAGACCTCCCACTTACCGCTGAACTCCAGGATCTACTAGATAAAACCCTTCTCGGTCATGTCATATAATTAGCCATATCACATTATTGTACACAGAGCTGGGTAGTACTCGAGTAAAATGTACTCGAGTACTCATTCAAAAGTACTTTCATCCTGATAACTCATACTCCAAAATTTTTGAGTGCTTTATATTTTAGAGTACTCAGTACTTTTTATTCCTACAGCTGACGAGTAACTAGTACGAGTACTGGACGCGCGCAAATATATTATAATCTTGGAAAGGTTAAACCATTTAGGATTATAGCTCCTTTGGCTTCCTACACACATTTCAAAAAAAGCATCTAATCGATAAAATGTAGAATTCAATTATTTTTGCTCTCAGAATCTTCAGTTCACATTGTTCAGTAAATTGTTTATAATAAAACATTAGATGGAATTTGTTTTAAATTTGCCTGGCAATTATAGGCATTCCAACGACGTGTCAAACAATAGGTGCCAGTGGGAAGTTCTCGTATATCCAAGGGGGTAGCGACATAGTCTTCCGTCTTGGACGCTATTTTTATTCGAAATATTAGTCGCCAAGCCTGCCAATTTATGAAGAAATATATAAGCGGGTGTTTTAAATATTACTTTTGTTTGACATAAAATATTTAAATGTTATTCATTACATCCATGTATAGTAGATAAAATACATCGTGTCGCAACCCTTAGATATATCAAACCTTCCCACTGGCAATTCATTTGTTTGGAATGCCTAATAGTCTAAATTATCGTACAATATCTTGAAAGTTGTCATAGTTTAGTTGTTTACAGTTGTTTTTTTTTTTCTGAAAAAGTATACTTTTAAATATAGTAAGAGCAGGTGGCGCCTTGTTCAAGTTCATACCCCTCATAAAGTTTCAAATAAATCAACAGAATTCACTCCGAGTAGAATCAATGTCATCACCTTCCTTTACAGAAAATTGTAAAATTCAAATAATTATTGAGCATAATCAATATAAATTTGTTTTGCTCAAGCATACGATTCAAAATAATTTTCTATGTACAAAATTTAACACAATAGGTATTAAAGTCCGCAAAAAGTTATTTCCTTTGCACACCTCGCGTAAGTGAAAGGCTCAATTGAATTTTGTATAGCGAATTTTTCAAATGGTGGTATTTGAAACTGACGTTTCTTGTACAATCAGAATACAAATATATTGAAAAAAAAAAAATAGTAATATTATTTTCGTCTATTTTAATCACTATTGTCGTGCGAGCCATTTCTAGCCAGTACGGTACTGGTCTTTGTTATAGCAGGTGAAGCTGCTTGTTTGTATTAAGCTATCGCTGGACGATCGAGACATACTGATTCCTACAAAAAGTAAGTGTAAATATTTTGCACGTGTACCAACTCGAAGAAGGGTTCTCGAGAACGGCTAGAGACCGTATCAAGATTACTTGAGACAGGACTGGATTTTTCTAGGGCATAAAATTTTTGTATAAAAGTGGACTCTTTTGCCGTCAATTTATAGATAAATGTCGTGAAAGTTAAATTATTAATAAAGTAAATAAAAATCAGTGTGGTTTTGAGTACATAATTAAATTAAATTAGTTATAAAATAAGTTTTGGTATTAAGTGTATGTACATCAGAATAATTAAACTGTTTAAAATAAAAAAGGAACATTATTTAATAAAAAAAAAACATTTTTAGTTAAATTCACAACTGTTAATTACAAAGTACATAATATGTATACATTTCATTGTTTTTAACAGTAAAATACCATTCATACAATAAGCCAATTCATTAATTATATTAAATTAAATGGATAAGTATTTTCCGCATTATTCTTAAATAAAGTAGCACCATTAATACTTATTGCAGTATTTACCTTATAAAGAATAATATACCATTGTATATTCAAGATCTTATGGCAGCAACAAAACATAGTGTCTATATCATATAACTTGATCCACAGTTTATGTTAAAATAAAGATTTTTGATATACTTTGTGAAAATGGCATCGAGTTAAACTTTTACAAAATATCTTTTCTTTATGTACCTTTTGAAAGTAAAAATTGTCTTTTTATTTCAAAAACAATTATGCCTAAAGCAGTACCAACATTCAAACTATCTATATTGTTACCTAGAGGTATATTTAACCTAGTACCATTCATTTCAGAAACTAATTTATACGACTCCTCACTAATACCTTCCGTCTCACCTCCCACAATCAATACATTATGTCTACCAGGACTAAAATTAAATGAATAGTAAGGAACAAGAGGAACTGAATTAATTAAATTACTTAATGACAAGTTGTTTTCACTGTTATCATCAGTAGAATTTAAAGAGACTACATTGTTGTCAGCTATAAAAATATTACTATCAGGAGGAATGAGATCATTAAAAGTGTCCCACTCAAATTTTCTTTGAATTCTTAGTTTAAAATGTGCTCCGCATGCACTGCGAAGTACTTTCGAGTCCCAAACGTTCACGCAACCTTGGGTCAGCAGAATTTCTTTGCAGCCAACACCACTGCAAGTCCTCAACACAGCACCCAAGTTGTCAGCTTCTCTAATATTGTCACATATAATCGTTAAAGGTATGGCATCTTTAGGGGGTTGGTATGCTTCTATATTAGGAGTTTTAAAAATACCCATTATTCCTAAAGAGATAAAAAAATATATATTAAATTAAAAATAAGACTATAATTTAATCGTAAGCATTTTAAATATGTACTTATTTTTAAACATAAAAATAATAGTGTAATGTTTAATAAAAAGTATGTAATTATACCAAAAAAGACAAAAACGTCCTGAAAATGTAGCATATTTGTATTTAGTAAAAATACTTAACAAGACAGAGGCGCCCTTCTGCTAACATTTTTTCTCACATTTTTTAAAAGAAGTAAATTTTTTTCAAAATGTTTTATACATTTCAAGGGCCTAAAAATTCAAACAGCATTTTTTTTTTTGGAAAAGCTTTAAAATGTATAAAGAGACAAAAACTTAACAAGCCCAAGTGTCTTGCAGGCTTCGTTCTAGCAAAGCATATTATATTATTTAAAAATTGAAATTCTTTAGAAACATTTTATAATATTTCAAGAGCATAAAAATGTGGTGTGGCTGTTTTTAGAAAAAAACCCAAGGTGCTCTGGCCGACTTCATTCAAAGCTAGTTAATAAAAATACTGTTTTTGTTGGGGTTACATATAGATACTGATATACTAAAAAGGGTAAGTAGTAAAAAAGGTTTAGAATTCCTGGTTTGGACAATTCAACAAAAACACTTCAGATGCCATATTTTCTCTTCTAGAGAAACTATATCTGTGCTAAATAAAAAGTCACTTATTGAAGCTGAATTCTGTGGTTTATCTAAGACATTTGACTGTGTAAATCACAGAAGATTATTAAGAAAATTGGAAAAATATGGTTATGGAGGAATGGCTTTGGAATATTTTAGACATCTTATTCATCGAACAAATGTCAAAGTGTAGTGGTTAAGAATGATACTTAATGTCATCTTGTTGACAGCAGTGTATCTTAGGGCTCTACTTTTTTACTTTCCTATCTGTATACAGATATAAGGAAAGTATAGGAATCATGATTTTTTCGACCTCGAGTTTTCGACGGATTTTTACGTTTTGAGGTCCCACGAATCCGTTTTGTGTGTGTCTATGTGTGTGTGTGTGTCTCATGAACGGATACACAGAAAAACACTACATTTTAAACTTAAGCTTTGTTTCAGCGTCCAATGAACTGATTAGATTTTGGGCAAAGTCAGAACATCTGGGGGGGGGGGTACTTTATAGGAGGTAATTTTTATATTTTATGGAATATCTGTTATTTACGTTTGGGGAAGAACATTTTTCAAATAAAAGTTAGTTCTTATATTATTATCTATAATTTTTGTTCTATACAAAATTTTCCTAAAATGGTCCATATTCGAGAAATTATACAAAATGTAAAAACATATTTTTTTATAAAAATTGTTCAAATAAAAGTTGTTTGTAATATAATTTTCTATAATTTTTATCCTATACATAATTTCTCTAAAATGGACCTTATTCGAGATATTTGAGAAAATGTGTAAATTTCGAAATTTGAAGAAAACTCAAAAACGGATAAAGAAAAAAACATTAAATTTTAAAATTAAGTTTTATTTCGGCCTGACGTAAAATGCTTAGATTTTGGACAAAGTCGGAACATCTGGGGGGTACTTTATGAGAGGCCGTTTTTATATTATATGTAATATATCTGTTATTTATGTTTGGAAAAAAAATTGTTCAAATAAAAGTTACTTCTAATATTATTATCTATAATTTTTGCTTTATGTTAAAATTTCCTGAAATGGTCCGTATTCGAGAAATTTGACAAAATGTGCAAAATTCTGATTTTTATGAAAATTGTTGAACTAAAAGTTGTTTGCAATATCGATCTCTATAATTTTTGTTTATACATGATTTTTCTAAAATGGACCGTAATGGAAAAATCGTAGGAAAAGTGCTAAATTTAAATTTGTCAGTATTTTCGTTTTCAATGAATATCTATAGAAAAATGTTTCGAGGTAGATGTATGTGGAACATGTATATATTTAGTTTATCCTCTAAACATTTATAGAGGTGCTGCAATAGGTTGTACAAAATAACCGGAAAAAGCCTATAATAACTAGATGGGAAAGTCATGTGTCAGACACATCAGATCTTTTATTGTAAATTAATGACTTGCCCAATATTTAATGGATTGTTTACTATTTTTGCCTCCATTTTTGCTAATAGAAACATAATATGACATGATAAAAATAAAGACACCTCAAAGGTAATATTTGGGAAGGCAATAATGAGGTCACACTGTCCCAAATGTTTTTCATTTAATTACATGTGTTCAGACATAGGCTGTCACTTTATTCCACAGTCTCACCATCCCATATGGTACTTTAACTAACAAAATTAGCACTGATTCCAACCTATAAAGCTTCAATATGTCTAAAATTAATTTGATTAATAATATATCAGATATTGTTGGTCAATAAAACATACAAAATCTAATAGAAACAAAATTTCTTGGAATTTGCATTATTCAGAATGTCAAACTGGAATAACACATGAACTTATGTAATAAGTTTGCTTCTAGATGCTATGAAATAAGAACAGTTCCTAAAAGTCTAAACTTTGAAGTACCTAGTCTATTTTTCACTCTTAGAATCACATAATATAAGATATGGAATTTGTTATTGGGGATCCTGCAACCAGTAACTATTTAAAAGAGTTTTTGTGTTACAAAAAAATTAGTTCTTTAAAGGTTCATTTTGCATTGCATCCCCAATGTTTAACATTTTTTAAAAGCATCAAAATATCTTAACATTTATGCCCACCTGGACTAGTTGTTAAATTCGACCACATTTGGATTTCTCTATATGGCATTTTGTACAATTTGGCTCCTATCTTGGGTATTGATTGTCTTAAATATTCTACTTCCTTAAGCCTACTAAATAATATATATTCAAGTTTGCAATGAGCATCCAGAGCATCCTTAATCAGTCGCTTTCCTTCTAGCAAAATAAGGTCTTTTTTATCTCGATCATTCTTAGATTTAATTTCAGTAAGTACTGTAGTTATTCTTGAATCATTATTTTGCATTTTGGTGTATATAAAATTTCCTTTTTCGTCTATAGTCGTTTCTAACATGTCCATTGTTACTTTTGGAGTTTGTTTCTGTTTGGATATAGTAAGGGGTTTAACATAAAAAGGTACATTTACTTTCTCGTTTTTGTAAGTATTTTGATTATATTCCTTTCCTGAATCTACCGGTGCGGTTCTTTTAATATGAACGTCTTCTTCTTCATCATATTCATCACTTGGAATTACTTTAAGAGGTCTACGAGTTGTCCATTTCGCCAAATGTCGAATATTATTATGATTATTTATATTTGAAATATATTCAAGCAATATAAAGTTGGTTACTCTATTTAAAAACATTTTGTAAATAAAAAGGAAACAACCATGAATGATAGAGATGGGTTGCTTTTTAGTAAACTGCTATTTGACAACTGTTATTTGAACTAAGCAGCTTTCAACTGCTATCAGCTATTACAAATCGCTGCTTCTTAAATAGCAGTTTACCATTTTCACTAATATTTCGATTTCAGATACGCCGATCTTTGTGACTATGTTGTGAGTGCATGGTGCGCGTGATGCGACGATGACAATGGCAAGCTGCTGATGCGAATGTCGTATTTTATACGTGCACTACGGATGTTTATGTTTTTCTGTACAATAACAGTAGTTATGGTTAGACCAAAAATGCTGTGCCCTCTTACAAATATTTTCAGCAAATAAATTTGTTTTAAGAAAATAACTCACAATACAAAACTTACGTCAGAGAGGACGTGATGGCATACAAAGACTAATTTTTTAATTGTTACCATTCCCGTTGTCGTCGATTTATTCTGACAATTTGGGGAACCACCCGCACCGGTTGATATTTAACTCGACATTATAAGACAGCTTAACAGATTTGAACGCGATCACCGATCGACTAGTAAATAATGAAATACCGGTAAACACTTAAGCAGAGTAGTCGAACTACATGTTGCGATGATTTAATAAACTGCTATTAAAAAGCAGCTATTTGAAAGCTGCTTTTTAGAAAAAGCAGTTACTGTTATAACTGTTATTTAAAAATAGCAGTTTTGCCCATCCCTAATGAATGAACAGTGAATTATGAGGTTATAAGAGTCTACTTCTTTTTTTGGTTTTTTTATTTTTAGCGAGGAGCTTTTACTGCCTGAATGCCTCACGACAAGTGGCCATAATAACCAGAGAAGAAGAAAGTAAGAGGCCTTCAAAACTAGAAATTATTTTATTATTACTTTAGTTTCAACAGTTTTAACATATCTAATCTTTTAAATTTTTTTTCAGAAACAATAAAAACAGATGTAGTTTTTTTTTAGTAATCAGAGGAAAAAGCAAAACTGTACAACCTTCATAACGTATCCAAAAAAGTCAAAATTCATATGAAAAAGAAGAATTGTCAATTGATTTGTCATGTCATATTTTTATTTATTTACATTTTCCGGATTTATTTATTTATGAATTTAATAATAAATGTAAAATATGAACACAGAACTAATGTTAAATTTGTCCGTCTCAGATTTTGAGCTTGTTTGTAGGCTGTGCTTAGCAAGAGAAGACTTAAAACCTTTTGAAAAACATGTGGAAGATATTTTGAGAAAAATTGCAGATATTGAGGTAAGTATTCTGCTTTATTATTTAATGTTCTTTTATAATTTTTTAATGATGAATTAAGAACAATCAATTTCTTTATTATAGTTTCACGTACCTGACAACATGCCTCAAAATATCTGTGGGTTTTGTACAACTAAAATTGAACAAATTAAGAGGTTTGCAACATCTACAAAATTAATTGATTCACATCTTAAATTTCTTTTAACATTTAAAGAGACAGAAACGTTCCATAGCCAAGAAGAAAATAATATTGATGAAGAAGAAGATGAAAATGAGGAAAAGAAAGTCTGTGATATTATAAATAATGGTTTTGATTTAAATCCTGAATACAAAAATAGTCAATGTGAAGAAAATGAAACTCATAAAGACAAAAAATTTAAATGCTCCCTTTGTGAAAAACAATTTAATTTTCGTTATAAGATGAAGGCCCATATCCGAGCTGAACATTCAGAAGAACAGCCATTTGAATGTAAAGTTTGTGGAAAAAAGTTTAAGTTTTCCCAAAACCTTGTGAGGCATGATAAAACTACACATCAAGGAGTCAAACCATTTAAATGTGAAATATGTGGAAAAGGTAAATGCTTACTTACTTGTTACCGTAATGGAAATTACATTATCTGTGAAAAATATTATCTATAGAATATTTGCATTATATAGGTCTCCTTCCTCAAGTATAAATGATTTTTGGAATGACTTGGATGTGTTTTTTGAAACTACTGTAAATAGTAATAGTAACATTGATATTTTAATAGGTGATATTAATATAAATCTTTTTAATAGGGACAATGTTGATGTAAATAGATATCTTTCCTCAATGTTTTCACATGGGTTTGTTTCATTATGCTAGGAAGTCACTAGAGAAATAAGTAAATCCTGCCTTGACCATATATTTTTAAAAGATTAAAATAAAACCTTTTCTAGAAAAATAGATATTTTCATTATAGAACATGACATAACTGACCATCTACCTCTTATGTTTCACATTTCAGATGATTTTACTTTAAATTCCACAGCATCAAATAGCCAACATGTTTTTAAATGTATTAAAATGAATAAACTAAATTATCTCACATCTGAGGTGGATTGGTCCTACATTTTAACATTTGATCAAGCAGAAGAAGCTACAAATTATCTTTTAGGAAAGTTAAGTGTAATTATAGAGAAGTCTGAATTTAAAAAAAACCTAAATAGTTAGAACAAGCTTAAACCATGGATAACAAATTCAATAATAACATCAAGATAGGCTAAAAAGAACCCTTACAATCAACCCATCTCCATCAAAGGTTTCGGAATATAGAGAATATAGAGATCACCTTAATAAAATAATTAAATCTGCAAAAAATGACTATTACAAAGACAAATTTAATCATAACTCGCATGATATTAAAAAAATTTATAATTTGGTTAAAGAGGCAACAAACAAAAACCTAACAAAAAGTTATATTAGTTGTATAAAAGATGAAAAGAAAAGCAAGATTTTTGAGAAGAATAAAATTGCTAATTTTGTAAATAACTATTTTACTAATATAGGCAGAGAAATGTACGAAAAAATTAAAAGTCCCTTCAGAACGTTTCAATTTGTAAATAGCCCTCTCTATTCAATGTACTTAAAACCGACAAACCGTAATGAAATTAAAATAATTGAACATACCTATAATGAGTTTAAAAAATTGTTGTTTTCCGGGGTTAGATAAATTGACTACTAAAATTATCAAACAGCTACATATCCATCTATTAAACCCCTTAGTTCATATAATTAATTTGATTTTTAAAACAGGAAAAGTACACACAGTTTAAAACCTCTGTAGTAACCCTAATTCATAAAGCTGGAGATAAAGAGGATATAGGTATCTATAGACCAATAAGTATCAACTCAAATTTAGCAAAGATATTTGAAAAATGTCTTCAGGTTAGATTACTTGAATTTTTTGACTCTAACAAGCTCTTTTCTGATAATCAGTTTGGTTTTAGGCAGGGATTAAGTACTTCACATACAGTTTATGAACTGGTGTCGAAAGTTATGTCATTTAAATAATGGCAATAAATGTATTGCTTTGTTTTTGGACTTAGTGAAGGCATTTGACATGGTATCGCATCCCATGCTCCTTCAAGCCTTGGAGATGGGGTTAGGAGTGCTGTGTTGAATGTTTTTGAGGATTATCTGATGCATAGAACTCAACATGTCAAGATTGCAGAGGCTTTAAGCAAACCAAAGACGGTTCAACATGGAGTACCACAGGGTACAGTACTTGGCCCAATTCTTTTTATTATTTATGTTAATTACCTCTGCAGCCTTGAAGTTGATGGTAAGATAATTGCATATGCTGATAACACCACAGTGGTATTTCATGTGAGGACATGGGAATTGATCAGTGAAAAATTAAAGACTGGTTTTGCCAAAATTAAGAACTATCTAGAGACATTCAAATTAACTTTAAATATAAAAAAATCTCATTACAGTGCCTTTTCTATAACAATGGCTAATAGATCAGTTTTTGATCAAATTAGGCTTGACAACGTAGAACAGCCTTTGAAAGAAGTATCCCATATTAAATATATGGGGGTTGTTTCGGATAAATAACTGAAATGGGATCAACATGTGCTTTACTTAAACAAAAAAATTAGATTTTTTATTCATAAATTTTATATTTTACGCAGCTTTATGATGAAGAAGTTAATACTGAAGATTTACAAGGCACTTGTTGAGCCCCTTTTAAGGTATGGCATAGTTGTATGGGGTGGGATGTATAGTTCAAATCTTACTCAACTGAAAGTATTGCAGAACTACATTATAAGGATCATTCTAAAAAAACCTAGATTATATTCTACTAATTAACTTTATTCTTTAGAAATTAACAATATAAAAGTACTATATGTCCTTGCAGTGTGTGGTTTTGTGCATACAAATGAAAAACTAAAATCAAATTGTGTGTCCCATAACTTTATGACCCGGGCAAACGCTGCTCATGAGCTGAGCATCCCTCAGTCAAGATGTGATTTAAACTTGCATTTTATGACATATCTGGCTCCTAAATTTTATAATCTTATTCCTATAAGTATTACAAATGTTAAAAAGTACAAAAAGTTAATTTCATTCAGAAAATATATTTACATTTAAATAAAACGCTAGGAAAAATTAACTGTAGTATAATAGTAACATTAAAATGTTTCATAAAAACGTCTCCATTTCTAGCAATATTTTCAATGATTTAAGTTATCGATTCAGGTTTTACTTCTCCTTAAATAAACTAAAAGAATTCTTTATCATTAATAACAATTTTATAGATGAGAAATACGTTTTTCATAAATTTTTAGTGTCATAAATAAAATGGTTATTTGTGTACCAAAGGCTATATAGACTAATATAGAGTTGATTTGTTTACGGCCGAGGCCAAAAGTAACTTCTGGTGCGTAATATTACAACAGATAGACATATAATTTATTTCATATAAACAATTTTTTACCTTGTATTATGATTCGTTGAAAATTGAAAATCTAATACTTATCGCCCTTAATTATTTATACATTTTAAATAGAAAATTTTAACGTTTCTAAAATTCATTTGTGTTATGGGTTTAGATTTTTTTGATTTGAATTCCAAATAAGTAAAGTAAACTTCCTACCACCCCAAATTGAGATTTATTTTTCTTTGTTTGGTACTTATATTTCCATATCATTTCCAGTATAAAAAAATATATTAATTAAAAATCCATTTCATACAAAGTAATCAAATTACAGTAGCAAGTTTAAGTAGTTTACATATAGAAAATACAGAAAATATAGTATTAAAAAAAGTAGTACACAAACAACTCTTTCTTTTGTATTATTCTTTTAAACATTCTAAATGAGATAAAGAAAATGAAATAGAAGAATCAAGATATACAAAGATACTTAGTATATTTTATAGAAATGTAAGATAATACAAGAAATCTAGAATCTGTTTCCGTAACGAGCTTTTGGCTTAATTTATTCTGTTCTTGGTTGTTTCTTGTTATCTTTATTGTTTAGAGAAGATAGTGTGTTTTTGGATATAATTGGTTTTATGGCAAGAGTTTCAGGGAGTCGGACAATCGGGCGCGGCCGTTCGGGCGCCGCCGTTCGAGCGCGGCCGTTCGGGCGCCGCCGTACGGGCGCGGGGTCAATCGGGCTCGCGGTCGGTCGGGCGCGGCTGTTCGGGCGCCAACCATTCGGGCGCGAAATTGTTATATTTCATAATAATAAAGAAAAGCCCATTGGTAATATTTTCGAGATTTAGCAATAAATATAATTCTCACCATAATAATAGAATTATTAATATATTTTAAGAGCCTACGTTCATAATGTTATTTTTAATTTTTATGTGATTTTCTTATATAAATGCTACTTCTTTCCGGACGATGTTATGACGTCGTCTTAGTTTATACCATGCAAAAATAACAATTTTAGTTTTTTATTATTACTTATCCCTAAATATTTTTATTTATTGCTAATAATTCAGGAAAAGAGTGCAATACAATACATTAATATTATTTCATAAAGATATTCAATAAGTACACCAAAAGCAACATATTTTGGGATTTCCCAAATCTTTTCTTAGTAACCTGTAAATTACTACGGGTAATTTTAATTCGTACAATTTGTACATAATTTGTTTGCAATTAATCCCTTATTCCTCAGATAATTAACATAATATTTGTATGTAATCCCTTATTTCTCAGATAAATTAACCTTGAAATCGTTTCACTTAAAATTTATTATCTGAGTTGGTGAGGTGGGGATGAACAGTTCGAAAATAATAAATTTTTAACATTACTATAACAGTTGTCTATTAGCTTTGCTTGCTACATTTTACGCTTTGACATTGTGATTTTTTCTGCTGTTTCCTTTTATAACGACTGTGCTTCCCTCACGTTTATTTTGCCTATCTGCTATTTTTCTCTCGATTTTTCTTCTTTCTACAATTATTATTTTTATTCTGAGTACTCGCTTTTGATGATAGAAGTGGTTTCTAAAGCAGGAAAGAAAAAATATGTCAGTAATGGATACTGTTACGTTTTTGACAAATTAAGTGTGTGTGCAACTAAAGAATATTGGCGTTGTGAACTTAAGAACAATGGGTGTAAATGTCGTATCCATATATAGAATGATGTAATAATAAAACAAATTAATAATCATTCCCATGACAGTAACGCAGCAAAAGTGGAAGTTGACTGCTTTCGTGGTAAAATAAAAATTCGTGCTAGAGAAACTATGGAACAAACGTGCTAAGTGATTAATGCATGTCTTAATGAGGCAGATTTATCACAGGCTGCACAAGCAGCTTTACCAAAAAATGCAGTTTTGAAGAAAATGATACGAAGGACGAGAAACGTTATAAATGCTGCACCGTTGCTGCTAGAACTCTTGATAATTCCTGATGAATACAAATTATTTAAACATAACGGAATTGCAAAGAACTTTTTAATATCGGACAGCGGACTAGAACCATGGGACATTTTCTACGGCACCGCAGTTTTTCCAACAAATATATGTTTTTATGGCCGAAAGATTTGGTGGAGTCCATCCTGTGGCTTATGCCCTGTTGCCAAATAAGCAGACTGCAACGTATGCGAGAATGATAGCATTACTAAAACAAGTTGAACCAAATTTATATCCTAGGAAGATCTCATGTGATTTTGAATTGGCCGCTATTAATGCGTTTAGGAATGCATTTCCAAATGTTCAAATTCTAGGATGTTTGTTTCATTTAACAAAAAATATGAGAAAACATTTGGGCGAACTTCATCTCATGGGAAGGTATAATAATGAAGCCGATTTTGCATTGCAAGGACGTATGATTACGAGTTATCGAATATGTTGCCTCCCGAATTGGAACCTCTACTTCAATGGTTCGAGGACAATTATGTAGGATGTCTTAATCGTTCTGGCAATGGAAGACGACCAGCAATGTTTCCTCCAGAAATTTGGTCAGTTTATAATCATGTGCTGTCTAATACAGACAGAACAAATAATCATGCCGAAGCAGCACACAGGCGATTACAATCTGAATTATCAATGAGCCATTCTACGATTTGGAAGCTGATCACTAGTTTAAAAAAAAATCAGCGAGGTAGGGATGTTTTTTACGAACAATTAGTTGCTGGCAACGAACCGCCAACAAAAAAACAGGCCTATATACATGCGGATAGACGAATTAAAAATTTAGTTGAAAATTATCAAAATAGAAATATATTAGAATTTTTATGTGGCATTGCACACAATTATCTGATGAATCCATAATATATTTGTGTTTAAAAATTATATATATCAGCAATAAAATTTTATTATTTTTGATATAGTTGTTTTATTTTTAAACTAGTATACAGTTCCCGAAGAGATTGGTTTTATATTATCATATATTCTGGTGGTGTCAAAATTAGGTCGATTGAACCTTACTGTACAAAAGTACAAAGTTACATAATCTTTTTCCAATATTTTGGAAACTAACATTTTTATTGCCTTAGGCCCTAGGTAATAAATATTATTCTCACTTCCCATTGCAAGGCTTGCTAAATTCCCAATAGCTAATGTTCATTAGACTGTGTATTTTGACGTTCATGAAAAATGTTTAATTATTTAAAAATTAAATGTTAATCACAATTTACAATTTTCAGTATGTATTATTTTTATTTTTACATTTATGATACGTGCATAGAATTTTGCGGCCGAGTGCCCGGCGCCCGAACGGCCGCGCCCGATCGTCCGCGCCCGATCGTCCGCGCGCCCGATTGTCTTCGCGCCCGAACGGCGGCGCCCGATCGGCCGCGCCCGAATGGCCGCGCCCGATCGGCCGCGCCCGAATGGCGGCGCCCGAACGGCCGCGCCCGAATGTCCTAGACCGAGAGTTTCATTCTTTTCAATGTTTTTCTAAGATTTGTCAGTTTCTTGGAAGTTGAAAGATATGTCAATATTTTCTTCTTCTGGCAAGTTTATTACAGTTGGTGTTGGAGATGCACTATTGGTAGCTTCTTCGTTTCTTATTAGGTCAATAGAATCTGTTCAACACAAATTTTTGAGATATTGTGCATTCAGATTAGATTTAGTATTTGGCAAATGTGATTTTAATGTTTTATTGCCATACTTTTACCTGATATCCAATATAATTAATAAAAATTTCTCCAAGCAGAAATAAATATGTATACATTCTTCCATATTTTTGAAAACAAATAAATACTAAAATAGATAATACTGACACATTTTTATTTATAGAATTTTCTAGACAGGAAAGAAAGAAACACCATATGAGAACCCATTCTTTCGAAATACCAGACAGTTTAATATATTTTTCTTGTAAACGATGTGGGAAAGCATTTACAAGTCGTTTGGAATATCGCCAACATCTCCAGGAACATAAAGTCAAAAAAGAAAATTTGAATACGAATTTTGCTTGTAAATTATGTGATAAAGTATTCTCTTCCAAATACGTTTTACAAAGCCATATGGTCATACATAATGTCAAAAAGGAATTTCTATGCACTGCTTGCGGTCAGGAATTCCATAGGAAGAGCTATTTGGAATCCCACTTAAAAATTCATTCTGGAGAAAAGCCATATGAATGCAAGCAGTGTGGGAAAAAGTTTAGGCAACCTACTGCATATGCTACACATCTAATAATTCATACAGGTTTGGAATATGTCTATTTTTTAAAATTTTGTTAAAAAATTGAAAACTTTTTTCAAAACCAACACATGTCCAAAAATGTCCAAATTAAGTTACCTAATTGTGATAATTAGTGGCCAGTTATAGTATTTACCAGCACAAATGATTATTTCCTACAAAACTAACATAGAAACAGAGCTATTCACGGTCAAACATAGAGCGTTTCTGCAAAGTCTATTATAATTGGTATGTTTTTTTTTGTTTCCTGAAAAAAGCTGATTTTGAACATGTCGTTTTGTAAAAAGGTCTTCAATTAAGTAAGGATTTATTATAAAAAAAGTACTCTTGTACTTTAGGGGTTTTTTTATGTGCATGCCTACTGTGACGTTTAGAATTTTAATTTTACACCTGTAACGTTTCTATTATTTTAATTGCCATTTTATTGTCATAAATTTGGCTCATTGCAGGGATCACATCTATGTACAGGCTTAGAGGAAAGGGGGTAGGGTTTGAACACTTTTCGGTCTTTTATGTATAACTTTTTACCCAAACACATTTATTAGGTCTTTGTGAATTAAGCCATGCAGTGTTCTTTAATATACATATATTTTTTATTAAACCAGGGTTAACTTTTATAAAAATTTTAAAATAATTATCTAAACAACCCCACTACATTTATTCAAATCCTCCTTTGGCTGGTGTGTGTTTGAACAGAAAAGGGGAGGGTTTGAACACGTCCAGAATGAGCTATAAAATAAAAAAATATATCCAGGAAAGACCAAATATATTTATTTACTTAAGGTAAGTAACATTTAGGTACATATTTTATCTTAAATCAAATTTATCAAAACACACATCGTTAAATCTGAATATTTTTATAGCTCGCAATGTGTCACCAGTGATTGAGGGTTGAGGTAACTTTAAAAAAAGAAGTAAGAGACACGTCGTCTATTTCAGGAAAATAAAAGATATTGTCTCCTGATTTTCTGAGAAATTTAACATTCAAATCATCTTTTAATCTCTCTTCTACTTGAGCCACTTAGTGAACTGTACTTTTTTTGTATTAAATTTCACTAGAACAAAATCGTTTATTATAATGATTTTTAAGCTTGCTGTAGCTAATTTTTCGGAAGCTTCCAAATCTTCTTGGTCATCATTATCAGTGCTGCTATCATGGATAGATATATTACCCTTTTCTGCACTACTACTGTCGCTCTGCAGAACTTTTCTCTTAACAACTTTTTTTTATCATTTTCCATAATTTTATTTTCTAATAAAGAAATTACTTCATTCTCTAAGCTACTGCCTTTTTTCTGTGGTTTTTTCTTTAAAAAGATACCATTTTTCTGTTTTTCAGAAATTGTTTCATAATTTTTTTACAATTCGCTGGATCATTTTTTTCCTCAATACTATCTTCTACAGGGATATCTGTCAGTATTTTTGTAGCACCTTTTTTGCCACCCACCCTCTTTCGAGCTTCTGTAACTTTAGGGTAAGGTCTAATAACCTCTGGCGTAATTTCTGAAGTTGTTTGGCGTAGTCCTGATATTGAATCATTTACTAGATTTATTTGAGGTGGTCCAGTCGTCGCGCGTCGGGGAGTTTGTTGGATTTATTCGAGATGGTCCAGGTATCGGATATTTGGTTTGAGTACTTTCTTGAATGAATTGACCGGTTATTTATTATAGCCAAAGGTTTATATCTTTTTGATCATAATGGCGGTGTTTAGCGTCCCTTTTAAAACAAGCGATACCACGTGTTGCGCCGTCGACTGTTGATGCAGTCGTATGAAAAGGAAAGAAGAGCTGGGTGCTCTGACGTAATACACTTTAACCAATGAGGAGTGCCTGACCGGTAGAGAGAGTACAAACTGTAGGGATTAAAATTTGTTAGTTATTGTTTTACATTTTTAGAGAACTGAATCACCCCTTTTGAGAATTTTAGGCAAGCTGTTGAAATACAGGGTGCTTCCATATCAAGATATAGGGTGTCCCATAAATATACTGACAATCTTTTAAGAGTGATAGGGGACATCGTAATACATTTTTTTTTAATAAATGTATGTCAGAAAACTCTTCGTTTTTGGAGATATAGCTATTAAAGGTTAAAAAAAAAAAAAGATTTTTAAAAGAATAATTTAAATTTTTTTTCAATAAAATTTTCCGTCTGTTGAAATCTTGAGACATCTTTTAAAATTATTCGTGTTTATCCAAAATTTCTATAGACGTGCTCACGGGTCAAGTCTATTACTTTATAATCTTGTAAATTTTTTAATTTTTTATTGTTTTTGATAAAGCAACTAAAAATTCAACTTTTTTTTTCTCCAAAAACGAATAGACGTAAAAATATCAAGGGCCAAAAAAAGTTGTATATTTAGTTAGTTTATTCAAAAAATTGACAATATTTACTAGCACTATTATTTTTGTATAAAAAACTGTATTTTGGAAATCAAGCGTGACTATGTTTATTAAACAAAAAATATTTATTTTTATGTCTCTTACCATTCCTTAAGGATTGTTGGCATATTTATGGAACAACCTATATCTTTTTTAAGTAAACTGGAAAATTTAATTTATTTACTTCTGACTAGCTTTTACTAAGACTGACTTAAATTAAACTACATTGCTCTGATCTACATAAATCAAATACAGTACTTATTATTTTGTATTAGATATAGCCGTGCTTTCACAGCAAACATGTGGCAACTACGATATCCCCGCTATCACTATGTTCTCTAGCTTTGTGCCTCATATTCAGTTCTGCTAATATCCCACCACCATATCTTCTAATTCTAGTTGACGACTGGCTGTTGCCTTTTTGCCATTTTATTAACTTAAAATAAGCACTATACAGGGTGGCTCACGCTCAACGGGACGGAGCTTTATGGGGAAACGACCAAAGATATAAAAAATTCGTTTGGGAGGAATACGTAGGTTACAGACGGCTACAATTTAAAATTTGTTAGATGTATACAGGATGTCCCACATAAGAAAAAAAAATTAGTTCATTAAAAATTATTCAAACAAGAGTAAACAATTAATTTCTGGGAGACTTTTTTTCCTTAAAAATTCAAATAAATCGAAAACTAATAATAATAGTAATAGGGAACCTTTAGTTAACTGACATTATTTTTGATGTAGTTTTTAAGTCTAAAATAAAAAACAGGGTGTTCCATTAAAAATAATATAACTTTGTATATTTTCTCTTATGTGGGACATCCTGTATACATCTAACAAATTTTAAATTGTAGCCGTCCGTAACCTACGTATTCCTCCCAAACGAATTTTTTATATCTTTGGTCGTTTTCCCATAAAGCTCCGTCCCGTTGAGCGTGAGTCACCCTGTATAATAGTATATATTTTTAGGTGAAAGGTTGTATAAGTGTAATAGTTGTGATAAGACTTTCAAGCAAAAAACACATTTAAAGCGTCACGAATTGTTACATACAGGAGAAAAACCTTACAAATGTTCTTATTGTGATAAAAGTTTTACTCAAAATAGTAACCTGAAAGCACATACAAGGATACATACTGGAGAGACGCCATTTTATTGTTCAGAATGTCCTAAAGCATTTTATGACTCTGGTAGTTTAAAGAAGCATAAAAAAGGGCACACTAAAACGTAAGGAAATTGTAAGTATTTAGGTAACAATTATGACTAATTTGTTATAGAAATGAAGTGATTTAAAAATATAAACGGAGTTTACTGTTATTATATTATATTATTTAATATATTTAATTGAATGTGGTAAATAATTAAATCAATAACATTAGATTTCATAAGAATACCCACAATACAACCATTAGGTTAAAAGTTAAATTTGTACCATTACTATTTGAAGATTATTTTTTATACTACCTAACTTTTCTCATAAACAAAGTATTCTAGAGGTGTTTTGTTCATAATCAAGCAAATGTCACACGTTGTATTTATATTAATCAGTTACACAAATCTGCTCAGTATTTATAATAATATCAGTCAAATATAAACTTGATCTTTTTATTAGTTAATAATGCCAAATAGAAATACAAAATATTCTTTTAATTTTTCTACATAGTCTCTTTGAAGATCTACACATTTTTGTCAACTCCAAGGAAGCTTTTTGGTTCCTTCCTTATAAAAATTTTGGGGCTGTAGGGCAACCCAGTTGATCACAAACCGCTCTGCATCATTGCCATTTTCAAAACGCTGTCCATTCATTGTTTTTTTAATTAGGCATTCCAAACAAATGAATTGCCAGTGGGAAGGTTTGGTATATCTAAGGGTGGCGACATACGGTGTATTCTATCTACTTTACGTAAAATCATGAATAATGGATTACATTTAAATATTTTATGTCAAACACAATAAAAATAATATTTAAAAAACCCACATATACATATCTTCATAAATTGGCAGGCTTGGCGAGTACTACTTCGAATAAAAATAGCGTCCAAGCTGCAAGTCTATGTCGCTACCCCCTTAGATATACAAGAATTTCCCACTGGCACCTATTGTTTGACAGGTCGTTGGAATGCCTAATGGCTCAAACAAATGATAGTCGCAGGGCAACAAATGAAGATTTTCCCAGTTGAATTTAGGCAATTTTTGCATAGTCAAAAGTGCTGTGAGAGGAAAACATTATTGTCAAACAAAAGCACATGTCGGATTCAGATACTGTGTCTTTTGAATATGTGTGCGGCTTTTATGGCATCCAAAAGCTGGTAGTAATGGGAGCATTTACAGTACGGCGTCCATAAAAAAAAAACAACGAGCAATATTCCTCTCCAGCCCCAAAAAATTGTTGTAAGGACTTTTCTGACAGTTTCGGTTTGGTTTTTACGGCAGCAATGTTACCCACTTCTTCGTCATTCTATTAGCTCTTTTGGATTCGAGAGTATAATAATGTGGCTACGACTCATCACACATAACTAATTATACGATATAAAAACTCGTCTTCCTCTTGTTCATTTCATTTCAAAAGATTTGCATTTGGCGCTGCTTCTATTTTTCTATCAAAGTCGTACAACCCATCTTGCACATATTTTTTGAATCCAAGGTGGTCTGTGATAATAGTATGGGCACTCCCATGACTTACATTTGTCACAGCAGCGATGCCATCCTCTATCAGGCGCCGACATAGCCCTCGAGGCCTATGGGCACCGATCATTCTCAATAAATTCACAAATCGCTCGAATATTGGGATCTGTTACGTTTGACTGTGAACGTCTATGGTGAATCTCATTTTCAACTTCTTCACCCACTTCCTTAAATTTTTTGAATTACTCGTCACAGAGCGCCGCTGTTTTTTTTTTTTTAGAAAAATTTTAATATTTTGAGGTCCTTCTTATGGTTAAAATATTTACCGTTTCTTAAGAAACACCCTGTACATAAATTTTGTACTGACATGTAATTCGTTATTAAATGACTTATATAAAATTATCCTATTTTTTTTTTTGTAGGTTAGATAGAGGATGAAATGATTGAATTGTTTTCTATGAAATATAAAAAAACGTTTTAAATAACAAATGAACAGAATAACAGAAGAAGAAGATGAAAAAGAAAAATGTACTGAATATAAAAAATTATTTGTAAATAAAAATATAAAATAAAATAAATAGAATATATTCATACTATTTTTTTATGGATTAGCAACCGCTAACATGAAAACCTAAGCAGTAAGTAACAGATTTATTACTTGAAATAGGGTTTGAAAATAGACATATTTATGATAAACAAACCTGTTATATAATATCTAAATGTATTTTTTACTACTAACATGAGAAATCACCATTATTTACTCCATTTATCTAATGAGAAGTAATATTTCTCACCCTAGGTAAATAATGGTAATAAAAAACACCTAGGTAAATAATGAATCATTCCCTATACGTTTAATGAAATGAACAGAAACTCTTATTTTATTAACTTAATTCTAAGCAAAAAACAAATTAACTCGGAAAATATGATAAAAATTATTAAAATTAAATTCTATTAGTTTTATTTTGTTAATTTGACAACTAACCTACTTGATATTTCGAAATATTTGTAAAATAAGTAGGAAACTTAAAGAAGTAGCAGGGTGAGGACCTTTTGTATATCGGATCCCCTATCAGCATTATAGTCCTTTTCGCACTTTTCAAAAAGATGGCAACCCTATCTCTCAGAGATAAAATTAGTACAAACTGCAAAAAAATAATATTAATCAACCACAAAATTCACAGAGTCGAATCACAGTCAAATATGGCGGAATAATAGAACTTGTACTTGTATAATATGTACATACCATCGAATCATGAACATTGAACATTTTTTCTTTACTGAGAATATTTCAATGCTTGAATCTAAACAAATAATGATAAAAAATAATAAAATGTCACTTGTCAACAATGGGGCCTATTCTGTAACAATTCCTTTATATTTAACGGCCTTTAAAAATATTGGTGACCTTTAAAAATATGTGTGTATTCGTTAATTTACTTCTGTCATTATTTAAACAGATTTCTTTAAGATAGTCCTCTAATGTATTTTAAAGATCCGTTTAAATAATGACACAAGTAAAGAAGAAAATATTTTTAAAGGCCGTTAAATATAAAGGAATTGTTACAGAATATACCCCAAAATCCCTTTCTTGCAATGACCTTCGTTTTTTGTCTATTTGGTCTTCATTCAATTGGATATTGGGACAATGCTATCTTTAATAATTATTTATCTCATTATATATGTTGTTTATATAATATAACCAAATAATAATACAATGCGAATGTGAATCCATGGAAATATAATAAAGCACGTAGAATTGACGTTCTACGGATATCTATTTCTTAAAGTCCCGAGGATTTAATGAACTGGACATACTTAAAACGTCCAGAATTGGTCCTGGACGTACAGACAATAAATGGACATGTAATGGACGTCCTGTGCTATCTGGTTTAAGGGCCGGAATAATTCTTGCTGACCAATTGTATTCCAGATCCATTAGAGAAAGAAAATCATAGACAAGACGTGGCCAAACAGTGTCGTCGCTTTAGGTAGTTTGGATTTTGTTGTGCGTCATTGTGGAAATTTTGTAGTAGATATTTATATTTTTTTGTGTAATCTGCTGTAAAATATTCAGAAAAATGTTTTTTTTTTGTGGTAGAAAGTACTTTAAAGGCAGTTCTGTAACTTTTCACACATGGATAAATAATGCTTAAATGTCATTAGATTTTTTTATAAAACTGGTTCGTTTTTGCAGTTTATACCATATATTATAATATGGTTTATACTGTGTGTTTTTTAAATCTTAATTTATTATTATGTTTAGATTTCCTGAAAATCCTGAATTAAAAAAGATTTGGGTACAGGGCCTAGGAATATCACCAGAGATTGAGGGTTAATAGTAGAATTATTTCTACACATTTTAGATAAACTAAATTTATTTTTATTTTTTCGTCCGATGGTAGAATATTTTTGAAAAAAGGAGCTAAACCTACTTCTAGTGACAGAAAGGAGAATGATAATTATAATTTATTAGATTCTCAACCTGGTCCATCTTCAGAAAAAAGGCACTTAATTATTTATTTACGTAGCACTTATAGAAAATAAGTCCTAAATAGTAAAGTATATCTAATCTAACAAAAACAATTGTAGTGCGTCAAAAAATAAAAATATTAAAGAAATGGAAAAACACTACACCACCACGAGTAAAACTTAGACGTTCAGGAGTTGCCAAGTCGGTAAAATATTAAAATTAAACGCACTTTGTCCGTAATTGGTTCTGTGTCTTTTTACATTCAAAAGTGATATGTGTTGAGTCCGTCGGACAGAAACCAATAGTTTAACTCTTTCGAGTAGTGATCCGCACTTGATAGAACCACCTATTAATTTAGCCAGGAGTAGGTGTATAGCCTGCTTTCTTCTGCATGCCACAAAGCATTAATCTTGTTTAATAACATGTGTTACGACTATGAATTTGGTGTTTAAAGAACAGGTATTTTACGAATTTATGTTACGCCCTCTTAATTCTATTGATATTACAAGTGTAAGTAGGTTGCCAAATAAACCAGTATTCCAGGACACTTTTCACAGGGCCATTGTAAAGTCATGATTGCTTTTGTATTATTCACGTACCTAGGAACAAAATTATCGATATTAGCAGAATACAAGACATTATTGTCATTCAGCGGTGGATCTTCCCCCAGAACTTGGTATGTCTGCTGATGCATCATCATTTTGTGACTGGTCTTCGTCCTCGTCATCAGAAGAATCACTATTAGTCTCTTCTGACCCTGAAGCTGGGGAATAAGTTCGGTCATGCAGGCTGTCGTCACTACTATATGGCTCGGATCTCTCTGAACCTTCCTCACTACTTTTTTTTATCTAAATGCTCCAACTCTTCTTATGTAAGGGCTCTTTTTCTGACACTCATGCTGTAATAAAAGAAAAGTTCATGGGTTGAGTACTAGCCTAATGGAACACATGTGTCCCAGTATAAACACCTGTTGGGACGTACTCGTATGTATCCCAGTGATAACCAACGATAAAAAATACTTTATGTAATTAAATTTTCTTAGTATAGTTTTTTATAGATACTTATATAAACCTTGAGTTACCGACTTTCTACAAAACAGCACCAAACTATTGAAATAAACCACTAAAAACATAAATAAATACCGATATGGACGCCGTACTGTATGTACACAGACTAATACCGCGTGCTACAACCGCTTGCCGATTAACTGCCAACATTGCCGCATTGCACAATTTTCTCTTAAGACCATAAGTAACTGATATGTCCCAGCCCGAAACGTTTTAAATATAAATAACTCGTTATAGGAATTTATAAAAAACCTCTAGGACATAGGCGTCCCTACAGGAGCGAAAGGGTTAAATAAAAATGTAAAAAGGTTATTTTTGTTTGTTTTAAACCAATAAATATAAGCTTATACATTTGATAAAGAAAATACCCAAATTAAAAAAAATATTTTAATAATAATAATGGTAGGATTCTGGGAAATATCCTGTTGTAAGCTACAGAATCTGTAAGATAGAGTAAATGTAATTTTTCACAGATTTTGGCTTATGGATTGTATCAGAATCGACTCATAAATCTCAATAATATTCCTATCATATTAAAATTAATTTATGATACGCCTATGTGATGTAAACATGCCTGTCATTCGGTTTGTTAGTGTTTCGACTTTTGAATAAAGGTTTCGACCACATACTTTGATTTTTCGACAAAAAAGAAATTAGGCATTCCAACGACCTGTCAAACAATAGGTGCCAGTGGGAAATTCTTGTATATTTAAGGGGGTAGCGACATAGTTTTGCTACTTGGACGCTATTTTTATTCGAAGTAGTACTCGCCAAGCCTGCCAATTTATGAAGAAATGTATAGGTGGGTTTTTTAAATATTATTTTTATTGTGTTTGACATAAAATATTTAAATGTAATCCATTATTCATGATTTTACGTAAAGTAGATAGAATACACCATATGTCGCCACCCTTAGATATACCAAACCTGCCCACTGGTAATTCATTTGTTTGGAATGCCTAATTCGTGTTTTATGACAGTTTCAATCTTTTGCGTTAGTCAAAAAGTTAGATAGGTACCTCTCACTTATTTTTAAAAAAATGTCGAGCGACGAGAAGAGTTTTTATGCACACTACCTGAAATCGCTGAAAAGGCGAAAAATGTATCATCATAGTTATTATATTGGTTATTGTGTAGGAATAAAAAATAAAGCAATGTTGTTTAATTGAAATAGTTTCTTGTTCGTAGAAAAAATAGTGTATGCAACTCTTATGTAATGATTATTAATACATGATCGTTGCATTTTATACTAATTTTGATGAGTAACAAACATTAAATAAACCATCTGATTTTTTACATATTGTTTTTTATATCGTTCAATTATAGTTTAAAACGTGATTAAAAAAAAGAAGGTCAGCTGATCTTTGTTAACCGCCAATAATTATTTTATGTATTTTATTATAATAGTTACGTTACTAATAAACATTTTTAAGGTCATCAACGTTTTGATCATTTTTTTTCACATGCGAGATCACTTAATTGTTAACTACGAAATGGAAAAGGTAAGTCATATTAAAAATTTTTGATTTCTCTTTGAAACTTTTTGGACCATATATTTAAATGCGCTAATATTTAAATTATCCCATTGAAAATTATTATTTAGGTATACAAATTATAATTTGAATTTATCTGGTTATTCATTTGCTATTTATTACATTTTAGTTTATCTTCATAGATTATGTAGGTACCTATGTGAAAGATGTATTTATTAAAATTAATAAATGTATGAACATGATCATATTTCATCAGTAGTCAAAATGAACTCGGTTATATTTTTAATATGAAAACGTTTTTCCTTTATTTTTATATTTATAAATATCCAAATTAAAAAAAAAAATAATGGTAGAAATTGGGATAATTTTCTGAATAACCTATATTTTTTAAATTAATTTTAATTAAAAAGGTTTCGTTTAGTCGAAAATAGTGTAATTATATTTTGGAAAGAATTTCTGATTACACAAGGTGGCCACAAGGATCAAACAAAATGGCTACCAGTGCGTTTTGACCGGGTACATAGATTGATCATGCATATTTTTCAAAATAAACATATGAAGTAAAAATGTAAATAATTATTTTTTTACTATATTCCAAGGCTAAATATTGATTTGTAGACACATTTGTGCAAAATCGATTCTGATTAATGAGCACATGAGAGACAATGTGGCCGCTCGCAAACGACCAGCTTTGAGTACTCTATATAACTATATATGTATCATTGACCCTGTCAATAGCAACAGGCTCACAAGGTAGCCATATCTAAATGTCAGTTCCTACTTGACAGCAGTTTGACAGGTCGTTGGAATGCCTAATTCTTAACTACATAAATATAAATATTTTATTGGTTAATATCTTAGATTAAAAAGACCAGAGATGTTACATACCGGCATTTAACCTTCGCGAATGTTTTAAATGTCTAAAGAAAGGTTAACGGAGTGGGGGAACTGAAAGGAGACCCAAACTCTGTGTCAGGGAAGGACTTGGTTTATTAGCATCATAATCCACTACTATAAAAATGCGAAAGTTTGGATGTATGGATGGATGTTTGTTGCTCAATCACGTCAGAATGGCTGAACGGATCTGGATGAAATTTGGCACAAAGCTAGATTATAGTCTGGAATAAAACATAGGCTGCTTTTTTATCCCGAAAAAATTACGGTTCCTGTGTTTTTTACAGAGCAAGGAATCAGACACATGAAAATTTTAAATACAACTACTGAGCATAAATAAATAACGACGTGTTTCAGGGTTTTTGGATTTTCACATTTTAAAGAGGTTAAAACGGGGGTTGAAAGTTTGTATGGAAGTATCGATTTTTTTTAAAGGTAGCAATTTGAAAATTGGAATTATAGCTACTCATCACAAATAAATAATTACGTGTTTCAGAGCTTTGTGATTTTCATATTTTAAGAAGGGAAAAAAGGGGTGAAAGTTTTTATGGGGGGTATCGATTTTTTTAAAGGTACAAACTTAAAAATTGGAATTGTTGCTACTCATCATAAATAAATATACTTGTTTCAGGGTATTTGTATTTTTCATATTAAGGGAGGAAACGGAATGTGAAAGTTTGTATGAAATTACAGTTTTTAAAGGTAGGAACTTGAACATTGGAATTATAACTACTCATTATAAGTAAATAATTACTATTTCAAGATATTCGATTTTCATATTTTAAGTAGGGGGGAAATGGGGAGTATCATAATAATAAATAAAGATAAATAAAAACAAACAAAAATAAACAAAACTAAACAAAAATAATCAAAAGCATACAAAAATAAATAAAAAATAAAATAAATAAATAGTAATAAATAAAACTAAATACAAAAAATAAAAATAAATACAAAAAAAATAATCGATTTTTCTGAAAAAAAAAAAAAAAAAACAATTATCAATTATTTCAAATAATCGATTATTTGCAATCAATCGACTATTTTCAATTAATCTATTTTCTTTTTGTAGGTCCTTTATAATCGATTATACTATTATCTTTGAAAAAACGAAAATAATTTATTGAAAATATTCGATTAATTTAAAATTATCGAACCTATAATGCCAATTTTATTAAAAAAAAAACGAATAATCGATTATTTTTGCAACCCCTATCTGTCCCTTGCTTTTATCCGAGCACTTATCTCCAAAATTTACAGATTCGGATTTTTTGAACATGTTATTTTTAAAACCGCATTCGATTGTGTATACAAAATATAGCAAGAATATAGATTTTTAGTAAACAACTTTTATAATTTAACATTTTATTAACAATCTGACTAACTCTCGTAACTTTAGTATGGGAAGGAGGCGCAGATTTGACAAAAAAAAGTCATTATCCACCAAAAATGACAATTTATCGGGTTAAGAATGATGATAGCATATCCTAGTTCCTAAATTTAACAAGATCTGAATTAGGTGATATTGTGAACTTTGACACTTTGTACAATTTGAAAAAAATCTTTAATTTTTATTTAAAAAATTATGGTTTAACACAAATAGTTGCTTAGTCTAATAAAAAGCCATTCAGATTGTAATATAGGTACACAATTATTTTAAATTGTAACTATCAAAATTAACATCAAACTCCCTAGTATTTACAAGGATTAGTTTTGGTAAAACAGCAATGCAATCCATTCGGTTTACATCGCCAATATCGGGCACTTCAGGGTGAAAAAATTTATTTAATTGAATTTTTTTCTTAAAAAATTAACTTGCTATTCGTCAGTATCCACAACTTTTTGAATTCTGCCAGCATAGGCAACATATGATTTGGTTGGAAATTGAACTAATACAAAATCTTCTTTTTGTATGAGTTGGTCGTTCGTTATTGTACAATCGCTTTCTTTATCAGATTTTTTAACTTTTTTAATGTTTCTTTTTTTCTTTAATGGAGTAGCTGATTTTCCTTTTCTGTTCGACTGTTACATTTTAATACATCTTGTTGTCTTTAAACCTTTTAGCATTTTTCAATTCTGTGTCTTTTCTCTTCATAGCTCTTTATTCTATTTTTCTGGTGACTCTAGATTTTTCCTTCATGTTTTAATATTAAGTACTTTTTTAAAATTGGTAGTAACGGTCATAACATCTACGGTGTTAGGACAGTTCTGGTTATTTGTACATATTATCGTTTCTATTGCAGTTTGTTCTATTTCGTGTTCTGTTGTGGACTCTGTTGTTTTCACAATTATTGATGGTTCCAATGCAATATTTTTCAATACTTGTAGTTGATTAATGATAAATAATAATTACACAAATCGTACTTAATGAATAATGCTTAGTATTCGCTCCGTGCGCGACAGCAGCGCCAATTCGTTTTGATACTAATGGCAAAGAATACCTACCCAAGAAGCGACACTAAATGGGCGATTCGTGGACAAAAAATTGTCAAGTTTTCTCAGTGTTTTAGAGGTAGTTTAACGTCAAATATAGTTGTCAGTTCATGTAGTGTATGACGTTTGGTATATTATTCTTAGCGTTTTGAGAAAATTTCAGTAGGTTTATTTAAAAGTAGTAATTATGTATTAGATAGTTTAAAGGTTTTTATTACAATGAAAAAAATACATTGCGTTGTTCGTGGTTGTGTTACAACTTCAGAACAAGGGCTAACAATGTTTAAATTCACAGGAGATGCCATAAGGTATGTACTGAAATGTTACTGTTCAAATTTATTTAGAAAAATTAAGTATTAATAAATATAATTTTGTAGAGCTCAACTCTGGTTAAAAGCTTGTAATCGTGAAGATTTAAATTTCATAGTTCCTAGTGGCTTATCTTCATATAGAATATGTGAACAACATTTTGAAGAAAAATATTTTTCATACGAAGCTATGATATTTTCCTACGACCACTTAGGAAAATGACACATATCACACTATGGAAAGTGCCCTATATCACACGCGTATGAATAAGAATTTACTTTCCACCCGTGTACGAATATGCTACTTTCCGCAGTAGCTGTCAGAAAATGTTAAACATATTTCTATTTTGATCTATGTAATGTCCATATTAATACTAAAATCGAAATGATTGTTAAATTATTGAAATTGTTGTAAATTAGATCCTAGATATTTATCTTTAACAATTATTATTAAAATAATTTTAAAATAACTAAGATATGTTTGCTTTTTATTCTGGTTAAATGGATAACCGATTAGATCATTCAATTGACGTAAGTGCTATTAGCTCAGATGGTTAGAACGTCGAATTTATTAACTTTGCCATTTGAGACTTGGCGAGCGACCGCGTTCAAATCTTGGCGGGGCCAGAATTTTTTTTTTGTTTTTTTTTTTATTTTTAGTATTTTTTTTGTGTAGAAAGTGTGAAAATTGAATAAATACGATTATTGTTGATTATTTTTTTAAATACATTTTAATTATTATAGTAATAATAACCTGGTTTTACATTTTTTGATGTCATTATTTTGTGGTCGTAGAAAAAATATTGTACATCATTTGTGTGAAAAGTGATTTTCCACACTCGTGTGATAGTCGCACTCAGCTTGTGCCTCGTGCGACAATATTTCCCACTTGTGTGAAAAATGTCACTTTCCACACTCGTAATGTCAAATTTGGAAAATATAATTGCAACGTTGCCAGATTGTGATAAAATTAGTAGTTAATGGAAAATTGTGATTGCCCATACCGGTCCATAAATATGCAACAAGAAAAAAAGCAAGGACTTATCGTAGCCGCCACCCTACGATAAGTCGTAAAGTGGCTTCGCCGCCACCAAAAAACATTAACCCATACCTGGCTACGCCGACCAGCATAGACTCCAACGGCCTGGACACAGCTCAAATTGAATTACATAAGACATTGAGGACAATTTTAATATTTATTATATTTTCGAAATAAATAATTTTTTTGAGCTTTTAAGGGCCTTGGCACATGGAAAATACTTGGATAAAACTGTATTATAATGTTGATAATGTAATTTTAAATAACTTTTATATTATGACCTTTTTTAAGATATGAATGGCTTGAGGACGTGTCAGGGAAATTTTTCAAAATAATCTTGCTTCTTTGGAAACAAAACTTATTGTTCTTTAAAGATAGTAATTCATTTCTCGTAGTTGATATCATTTTAAAGATATATAATAATTATATATTTGAAAAAATTAGAAAGACATGTATATGTCGCTTTAATGTGAAATTACCCACCTGCCAATCCTGGTTTTTGGTACGTCTGAGGATGCCTAGACATTTTTTTATTGCTATGTTTCTTATTGCTTATTGATCAAAATAATCTTAGGATGAACTAAATAAGAAATACATTTTTCAATTCCAAAAATTAGAATCTTGCATTTTTTGTCAAATTTCTCAAATACGGACCATTTTAAATGACAAGAATTTTCTTCTCCAAGCGTAAATATCAGATATATTCCATAAAGTAGAAAAACAACCTTCTACAAAGTACCCCCAGATTTTTCGACTATTTCCAAAAATTAAATCACTATTTTGTTTTTCAAACCATACGTACTGTGATCGATTTAATCCATTAAATAATATACATATAAACAATTTTATAGTAAGGATTAAAACAGTAATATATATGACAGACTCACTCTGAGGAACCAAGTCGCTGCTATCAGGATCATGCAATCAAAATACATTCTCAGCTACCTATAGTACTTATTACTAAAATTATTATTATTATTAACATTATCTATTGAACATAGTAAGAATTTTCCGTCATTTTAACTTTAATATGTGTTTAATTCTCATGAACCAAACAACAAAAATTGATTGGAATTATACGTTTCCCAGTGTATTAAGTTCCCATTTACGTCAAGGTCGCTGCTACTTTGGTACATAGAAAAACTCATTCAGTTTCGCTTCTTTTGCTAATGGACTATTTCTGCGTACACTGACAAATGCAACTTTTAATAGAATTCGTAATTAAAAAGTATACATGGTAGTTTTAATAAAAGTATATGGATTTGTAAGACAAGTAAAACATTAATTTATTATTATCATATATTTTTATCGCTTAAATTAAAGAAAATTATTTATAATCGATAAAAATCAATAATAAAATATAGGCAGGCAACAGTATTTACTGGAAAATGTATGAGAAGTTGCCTAAGTCTAATAAGTTTTCATTAAAGAATTAGTCTATTCTGTCAAAATTAAAAAATTTACCATTTAATAATAGCGTGAAGTTAAAATGTATAAAAAACGGTTTTTACTTATATTTTCATTTTTGTTCGAAAGAAAACATAGAATGAATGATTAAAACAGATTTCCCATCAGTAAGTTACAAAATTAATTGCGTTCCAACCACATATAATAATCAAAGGCAGAAATCTTGAAATCTAGTCCTTGCTGAATGAACATTTAAGAACAAGGGATATTAAAGAACATGGTAAAATTATAATTTATTGTTTATTTAAAACCTTTCAAGTTTCTGATGTCTACTATTTGCAGCATTACGGTTATTATTACAAAAATAAAGGTAATTTTTCTTCTTATTGTATATCTATCCATATATTTCTTTGATTTAATTTCCACTTTGCTACTGAAATTTTTTATATAAGTTTCACTGTTTTTTTGCTAGTATTTGTACAATTTTCAACACAGCAACTCCGGTTGCTTATTGTATTGTTTTTACCTACTTTTTTTGAAAAAAAGTAAAATGTATACGTGTATTTGATATGCCAAAATTACAAAATATCGCCCTAAAATGCACGAATTGTCCGCAGCTAGCGCTAGTATCGCTTTTGCTTCCCTTTCCATGACTTCGCACGGAGCGAATATTAATGCTTAAAAAATCTAGTAGACAAAGTAATTGGCGTTTTATTCTATCGATTTCTCTTTTAACTCAATATAGGTACATACATAACAAATTTAGCAAAAATACGACCATAACACAAAAAATAATTTTTAAAACGGCCAGCAAGCAGGTGAAAAATTTTACATTAATTCTAACATTTTTTTAACGTAAAATTTTTCGATTTGTATGTCTCAATATTTAATTCATTAATAGAAGATTTATCACTTTTTTTGCTAAAATGAAAAAAAATACATGTTGTTGACACTAGACAAGTTCTGTGCAATAAACAACCAACTACAAGTTCAATATACAGGGTGTTAAAAAAAAAGTGTCACAAAATGAAATGGTGAATAGTATGACCCAAAATAAGCAGAAAAGTCTTAATAAATATATGACCGCAAATTAACGGTTTCGGAGATACGGACCATTTTGTGTTTATAACAATTTTTTATTATTATAAAAAAACAATGATATTTATAAACAATCAATAACAACATAGAGTTAAATGAGATGTTCAAATACTGACGTAGCGCTTCCCTCGCATTGCCATTTGCATGACCGTACATAAAATGCATGTCTGCTAATTCAATATTAGTGTAAACAGGCATAACGAAAATTTATAAAATTATTCACCCACAACAAAATAATAACTGCAAATAGTATCTATGAAAAAACATCGGTAGACTCCGATAAGAAAAGCAAGTTTTTGAGAATGAAAAAAGATAATCAAAAAATGATACAAAACACAAAACACTCCGTATATCTCTGAAACCATTCATTTGCGGACATATGTTTATTAAGACTTTTCTGCATATTTTGGCCCATACTACCCCCCGTTTTATTTTGTGACACTTTTTTTTAACACCCTGTATAATAAATACAGCAGACTTTCATCGTTTTTGTTTTTGCAAATTAGGAGAGATCGGGGTAAGATGACGAACTTCTATAATAACAGAATTAATTTTTGAAGTGCAACTACTGGTGCCATCTAGCTACAAATGCCCGCATTAAAATTGATGCGCAGTTATCCGGCCCGCTTAATACTGCAGCAGTAATAGGTCAACAACGGTTTTTATAGCATGGCATGCAATATTTTCTAAATTTTATTAACGATTTGTGCCTTTCTCAGGTAATTAAAAAATCCAAT